GCGGCAGATGACTGGGTTCTAGATGACATTGCCGGGATGAAGTTATCATTGAGATTGCAAGAACTCATGTATGAGCTAGCTTTCAGTCACTGCCATAGGAAAACAAATACAACATGCAATGGAGAGCCCCTACTCTAACTTTATCTATGCATGGGCAGCTCTCAGGAATGTCCACAGACATGGACGGAGAGTCAACTAAATACCAGGGGGCTTCAATAATAGAGCACGAATTCATGGAATAAGAAAAGTGGCGAATATATTCTATCGTGCATCTTGTGGTTCCCACGCGACTACCAATCTCTCTATCGCATTTACAGAAACATGTATACCGGTCTCCTATGCCCAGTGAGTACCACAAACCATATACTCTTACCAAGTTACTGATAGTGCAAGCAATGTAGTCGAATGACTGGCAAAGACCAAAACTGTTGCTGGCCTGGTGTACTTATGGGACCGAGATTGCTCAAGACCATGGACAGAGTCATCCGCTCTGGTATGTGCTGTATACTTTCCACGGGGGAGGTATCCACGATTCCATATCTCTATCCAACATGATTTGCTTGTGGCTCGTGGCTCACGGCCCGCCTACTCCGCGCGAAACCAACCATATGGAAAGACTCTAGCGTGAAGGCGGACCATTGGCACTTGGAAGCTGCTCGCCTGGCTATGGGAAAAATACTCGAAGACGGCGAGCGAGAAAAGTAGCCGCCGTGGAATTCGTCTGCTTTATCATCCCAGCGGCCAATCCGTACGCTGGAATAAGGTGAGTATGTCGGATCAAGGAGGCAAATAATAGGGGCAGGCTCCTCTGAACGAGGATGAAAAGCATATTTAAGAGGATTTCCGAAGAATATGTCAAGGAATATGGAGATAGTCGTGCAGATAATGGAGATAGTCGTGCAAATAATGAAAGATGTCGATATTCGGAGTATGCCTACGGAACTTGGATGTTATGTGTAGGAGATAGTCTATCCAAAATGTATTCTAGAACAATTCAATGTCTATATAAACGGCCCTAAGCCCACGTATAGCTATCCATCAAGGCATCCCATCCAACATGGTTATATAAGAGGATATAGACTGGTGGGACTATATCCTCAAGTCTAATATCGGTCATCTACTCGGCTGAAACTAATTATTTCGAAACGTCCTCCTTGATGGCGCCTTTTAAAGGAATACAACGCTTGCCACGAGTGTCTGAACTCCTCGACAGCTAGATACAGTGACACCGGAAGATGCACAGTATTAGGATCAGTCCTTGACAAAGGACCCACATCGCTTCTTCAACACAATATCGGGATACTGAACGAACCTATGCCCCGAAACATTCCCTGCAACCATTTCAACATGGAGCACCCTTTCGGAGACAATCTGCTTCACTTACTCCCATATAGTCAGTACTCGTCACCCTTGGTGCCGTCTTACTGTCCTGTCCGGGATGTGTTCCAATCTTCATCAAGCAGCCACAGACACCTTAGCAAGGTCAATTGATTCACCACTTCGTTCAGCTTGGTTTCTTGTGCCTTCGACAGGCGGTAGGTCTACAGGAAGGATTCAAATCAAAGAATACCCAGACCAAAATCCAAATCCGTTTTTGTTTTTGGCTCAGGAGACCTCGAATGCTCAGGCAACAGACCTCGGGCTTTGAGTTGCAGCAACATCAAGGATCATGTTTGCGATGGCCTTCTCAGCGCCCACACAGTCTCTTTCAACGCTATTATCATGGACCAACCACCTCCGGAAGCAACACGTCTCTCGATACCATTACCAATAATGGCCGAGCCAATGACTGAGAACGACCTCAGGCCTGGGCCGTTACAGATGGTGTAGTGTTCCAGGACGAAGACAATCTTGATGACTATACAATCCTTAAAGGGATCGAATTTCCATAGAAGAAATTCGGACCACATACCCTGCATTTGACTTCTTCGAGGGGTTAACCTTAGGAATTTGGGCATTCATCCGGGCTTAAGGAGATGCCCACCAGGATGTCTCGACAATGCAGCGATCAACCACAAGAACTCAAATAATTTGTTGATTTACCGATGGACAACAAAGAAGTGCATCCGAGCAAGCGACTGGTCCACTCTACTATACCCTACCCTCATTACCTGAGCCGAACTACTCTTGGTCCTGCTGTCACATACAGCACGAGAATACAGGCTCGTATACCAAAGCCCAAACTCCAGTCTCCTAAGTCGGGAAGGAAGATGCATCCCAGAGATCCTTCTGCCTCCTGAAATCATCAAGTCGGTTACCCGGAAGAAGAACGCCCGGCTTAACTTCCAGCTGGCTCCTTTTTTGCTTCGAACATATAATGGGGTTGACGGATTGTCCTCGAACCATTCAATATCCCGATCTGCCTTACAATGCGCAACTACACCTCAGCCAGTTCAATTTCAAACGTGCACTAATAGTGAGCTGAAGAAGTAATACAGGGTAGGTGGGCCCTGTATTCAGCTGATGCTCTCAGTTCTTGCGTTTGCCATCTGGAAATCACTACCTGGATGAAGCACATGTCTGACCAGATCAGTGCACAGTATATCTGTCAGTTCAATATTCTTCATAATGGACAGTTACACGCCCGAGCCACACCACGGTTCTTAACATTCGCTGCCACAGAGCAGAAAGATATTGGGTCCTGTGGTGGGTCGATTGGAAGAACGCTCGAGGCCATCGACGCGGACCATAGTGGGATGACACGCGTCTCTTCGAGAAAGACCCTAGATACCGCCAGATCTGAGGTACGCAATTGATCCTTTGGAGACCTTGGAGAGATCAAACTCGATGAAGAGAGCAAGAGCTGGATTCCGAGAAGGGTAACTTGGAATCCAATCTGGTTTAACGTGGATCACCCCCATACTCCACCTTTTAAAAAATTTCCCAACTTGCACCGGTTGCATGAATCCAAGATCCCCATAAAGGTTCACCATAAACCCAGTTTTAACGCAACGAGCAGCAAAAATACAGCATTATCTTGTTTTACACCGTCTGATTTTGATGAACGACCTCTGGTCAGAATAGTCAGGCTTCGTGGCCAATCCTAGATCTGATCAACACTGACTCAGCGCGAACAAGCCGTTCTCTACACCATCCATCAATGTTGTTCCAGCGCTTTGATCGTCTTGTCTCCTAGCCGAAGGAAAACCATCTACGTTGGCGAACTCGGCCCATCGTTCGCTGCTTTCCCATGGTTGGTTCTAATACATGCATCCATCGTGATACCGTAGGGTGTCTTACATATAATGTTTTGGTATGGGATATATCCGGCATTCTAATCCTTAACCATCGAGATTCATCAATATGGACAACGGATTAATCATCATTCTTACCTTCCTCTGTTACCTCTGCTACCATCGACTGCATCCATCCCTATGGGTTTGGTTCTATGTCAAAACATCTCACCAAATGCAGTTTCAACCCTATCAATTGGACAATAACCATGCATTGAGCAACACACGATCACACCAGCTAAAGCCCAACGTACTGGTCCTCGACAATCCACATAAGTCGCAAAGGGGAAAAAACCCTCATTCACACCCATCGTCGCCTCCTCAATATCATTGCCAAAAATCCCCATGACACGACATCTATAACACAGCGCTGGAAAGTGGTTATCCCACTACAAAAGATATCGAAACTTCCCTTGGACACGTATACTCCTCTCGGTTACCGATCAGAGTAAAAGGGGCGGCAACCATCCCAGACACCGGCAGAAACTATGATCTTTTGTTCTCGCCTGCCCATGGCATGTTCCTCGTCCTGCTGCTTCGATGAACTGATCTCTTGAGCTCAGGGCATTGGCAGCATTAGATCTATCGATTAAGCTGGACAGAATACCCGCTCCTGACATTCAGCTTATCATGAACGTCCACGATTTGTATAACCTCGGCTGCATGTGGCTCTGCATACGACATACAACCACGAAGATTGTGAAAAAGAATGACGTCTTCCTCTGATGATCAAATGTATCTGCAAAGGATAGGACACTCACTCCTAAGTTCCACAGCATACGTATCGGCATCATGTCTTCCCCGGTGGTTATAAACCTCATGATCAATACCCTAAGCAAATGTAAGATACATGAGAAGGGCTAGACCCGGTCAGGTTTTAACACCACATTACTACAATATTCACACCCTCTTCTTCCAGAATCCAATGAATACAAGAAATCCACTTGGTGGTTTCCATATCCAGGACAGGATTCCGATGCACCGGGTAGGATGATCAGTCTGTTGTGATATCCTTCCCCTACTGATCACAGATTCCAGTTACCGTGATCTCAATCTCCAGACCCCAACAATCCTACACTAGGTACCGCTCTTCCACACACTATTTTCTCCTTCTCTCATTCTCTTCCGCATAGCGTACAGTCAATACGGTCACTCTATCCGTGGTTTCTATTTCCCGTTCTGGAAACAATTCATTTGGATTGGGATGGAATAAGGCATTGGGTATTCTCAGCAGAAAGCCTAAATATCTATCTGCAAACGGGTTCTATATGCTATAATCTGGGTTATTATCTAAGTGATATATATATATATATGTATATCACTTAGGGATCAAAAAGGAATCCTCATGACCGACTGTCTCTTATAGCATTCATCCCACCCAGATCTGCTATCCTTGCGGGATTCCTTTCCTGGAAAGGAAATGACGCAGTTACCATATTGATTATTTTGGATTATTGGGATTTAGACAAGGAAAATGAGTTGGTATCCTGAGGGAGGTGGAGAGGGAGAGAGTGCATGTTATAAGGCTTGTTAGTATCAGGGGGGGGGGTTATATAAGTTGGAAATGGTGGTAATGGGAAGGGATGGTGTCGCGTTGAGGATATTATCGTATGTCTGGTGTATTGGGTATTGGGTCCATTGGTGTATACAGACTACAGGTGTTGAATCCGTGGATGCTTATGCTCAGTGTAAAGATCTGGGAGGATATATACGGGAGATCTGCAACAGAAAGCCCTTGGAGTGGAATGGTGCGGCAATATACATATATCATACAACCTGCCTTATAGGTTCCGTCAGACGAGCCTGCTCATCTACCATCTCGCAGATTGCCTCTTCCCAGTCTTCGATGGCGGCATATTCTGCCTCACGAGCTGGGGGGTAATGGAAGAGGTAGTCGCCTGGGGATTTAGCATTTATGGTTCAAGGGGGTAGGTTGGGATTACCTGATGGGAGGTATTCGGGAACTCCGTACAGAGAGATGTTCTCCAGATGAGGGCAATAGTAGCCTGTGGTATGGGGTGCTGGCTGGCAGAATTCGTCCAGAGGAAACAGCCAGTCAAGGGAGAGTACCGTCTGCTTTAGTTTCAACTCCCGAAGACGGAATGTCAAACCACGCAGATTGTTAGAGAGTGTATCCGTCTCAGAGGACAGGAAATTGATAGCGGGCATAGGCGTAATTCAATTCCTCTCTATCGCATTCGCACAGTGGAGTTTCTTCAAGGTGCGAGGGAGTTTGAGCAAGCCCTCCGCCAATGCTAAACACAGCATTAACATGAGTCATGTGAAAGATCAGAATATCAAGCTACCTTGACGTCTCTCTCGGATTAGGTCGTCATGATCTGGTCGGACATATTCGTCGAGATCCAAGTGCGCTTCTGTAAGAGTCGGACAGTGCTCGATTATCTCGAACATTGCACCCACCCACGTCTGGTGCCTGAGCTTAGTTGTACCGTGAAGATCATCCTTATTGGGAAATGTGATACGATCAATGCACGGCACATCGACCAACTTGGACACATCATCATCCAAGAAACGGGCTCGATACGGGGGAAGGGCGAACTCATGCCCAAGACGCATGTTCCAAGTGTAATCATAGGCATCAGGGGCCCATTCGGTATCATATTCCACACATGTCTTGTAGCCAAGTACGGTTATTTCCAGGGACAGACGATGCTGTTCATTCCAGGTGGCAAGTGTCTTAAATAAGTCGGCCAGGGCTTCGCCAAATTTCTGATCATTCTTTAATCGCTCTATATGTATGCCCACGTAAAGGTCACTCTTGAGAGCTTTCCAGTCCTCAATGCGATGTGGTAGAGCGATCGTGTAACGCAGAGTACGGAGCCAGCGCCGTTTTTTCAGGCCAACTCCAGACATCAAGGTCCGAAATTGCGACAGAGAGAGTGGCATTGTGTACTTGAATCTCGGACCGTTGAAGTCTCCGATGGAAGGTCGCGGCTTGGCGTAGGTGAGGGGCTTGTAGTCTTCATCCTCGAGCCAGAAATCGGTGGGTTGGAACAACGTGTGTTTGTTGAGATAGATATCGTCGCTGCAGACATCCAGATTGGAGTAGAGGAGGGGCTCAAAAGCTGCCTGCCATTTGCGACAGACAACGCTGCATGGGGCAAGGAGTTGCCGATTCTGCCAGGCGAAGAACGCGATTCGAGAGACAAGCTCCAGGGGGAGGTCATTCACTGACATGGTGGGGTGGTGTTGAGAAGATGAAAAATGGAGCAGTGAAGAGTGAAGGGAAATAAAGCACGCGTGTTTGACCCACTGGCGCGTCCCGTGGGCTTCCAATTTGAAGATTTCATTCTTTCACTACGGTATGTATAAGGTGACAGGCCTTGATGAGGTGGTTTGTCTTGCTGTTAGTATGATCGGGGAGGACTTTAAATTCACCATGGCCAAGCTGCCGTAAGCGGCAAGAATGGTATCACTAGGTCCAACTGGGAAGGTGGTAGCGGTTTATATGTTACCCGTATTTAAACTTCTCTGGTGGCCTGGGTCTTGCAATAGTTTGTTAGTATGCATGAAGCGAGAGCACTGTGGCTCTTATTTATGGATATCTCTATGAGTACTATCATTCTAATCTTTACCATTAAGAGAGTTTGACACGCGATCAGCGAAGGATTTTAAAGTTGTGTGGCGCAACATACAAGTTCCAACAAAAGTAGCTATCACATGACTAGGTCATCACATTTCGGGCTTAGTAGACGGACCTCTGAGACACTTAACCACATGGAATTTACTTGCCGGTGAGTATTGAAACGCGTAGAGTCCTTTTAGCAAAAACAGAGCTCAATCAAAAATTGGGCTCTTCTTATAGTCACCCCTTGTCACCTTAGAGTCACACCCCTCCACCCATCCATCCGCTATGGGAATAGGGTATGTCAACCTTACTAAACTAACTGTATTAAGCATACTGCATAGCTGTCATATAATCTATAAAATAGAAATTTCCAATCTCTGGTCTTGTAGAGACCCTGAATCAGTCAAAAATGCTATCAAAGATAAAAATAAATGTTGTTTTTATTTCCTTTACAGTGAACTACGTAGGTCAGATAATAACGCTAAGCCTGTGAGTGACCAAAGGAGATGACCCTCAGGAGACAAGGGATGACCACAATGGCTTCCTACTATTTGGACCATAAAACACGATGATGTCAAAGGTGGAAGATCCCCTGTTATTTCCAAATCATATCAACGGGAGCCAAATATCGACAGATGGCACAATATAGGCGATAACTACCACATGAACTCACTCTTCATCCAAATCTGCAGCCCTCTTATACCTCTTCCCATGACTCACCAGCACATATTTCGCAAAGCAATCCTCGGCAAAATCATCAAAAGGCTCATACACAGCCCCAAGTCGATACGCTGCAGCAATGCCAGAGATACAGGCTATCTCATGCATATTCTATCCTTGTCAGTATGCACCAGGCTAATATCAAACGCATACTCACCACCATCGTCCAGCTCCCCGCATACACCGTCCGATTCTTCCCATTGATGAACATCATCCCCGGCACCACACGCGTATAATGCTGCCAATTATGTCCAAATTGATGCCACCATTTCTCTCCAATAATCTTATCCTTATCGATACCCTCCCACGTCCACAGATCCGAGTCTTCTTTATTCAGAAAGATAGTCTGATAGACATGCCGATCTTGCTCCGGAGATAGAGCATTCTCCCCCAACGCCTCCCGAAATTGGTGCTGATAGTTGGTGCAATCAAACCCCATCTCTATCTTCTGCGGAGCTTGCTCAAACGAATGAGTATAGTACATGGGCGCAAATCCCTCCCATCCATCCTTGCGGCAACGTGGGGTCTGCTTCGCGAACGCGATCTGCTCGCTGCGCGCCTCGGTCGAGGCCTTTCCGCAGAGCTCGGTCTTGTACCGCGTTTCGAATATAGTGTTGAAGTAATCCGCATCGCTGTGCGTGATAGTAACGTCGTCGAAGAATTTCACGCCCCCAAGAACATACTTCTCTCGCCATGTGGCGTGCTTCCCGAGCAATTTCTTGGCTTCGTCGGCAGGTACGCAGAGAACGAGCTCGTCAAAGTGTTCGTCATGTACGATGCCATCCCATCTGCGTTCGGAATTATGGGTTGATTTATCCCACGCGCGGAGATCGATGCCGTTCGTGCTGTCTCGCTTTAGTATCTCCACCCCTGTCTGGAGGCGTACGTTCACTCCCTTGCGGCGAAGGTCACTGGCCCAGTCGCAGTAAAAGTCTCCGAGATTAGGAAACGTATACATGGTTGGTTGGTTGGGAAGCAGCATATCGGGATCGTAGTCCCAGAGTTTCATCTGCGGATCATCGAACAATCGCTCCAGCAGTACACTCGACACATTCGGGGCCTGGTTTCCCGTGCCAAGGAAAAGAGCAATCAACGGGAGTACCATCTTACTGCCAAAGTCGTGACTGAACCTAAACAAGCGCAGAATAACCTTGACAGGCAAGATTCCCAACAAAGGCATCAACCGCTTAATCCACTTGAGCACACGACCAAGCTTCTGGATCTCCCCGGAGAACTTGTCAACGAGTGGACTAGGAAAGATGTTCGTGAAGAAGCTATCCGGGCCCTTCCCGAAGGATACCTGCAGCTCCACTGGCTGCGGCTCGTATCCATATCGTCGGAAGAAGTTGAATGTGTGTCGGAAGATGGGCGATCCACCCTGCACACCATCATTGAGCCAGGTGGCGCCGTAGCGGCCATCCAGAGGAATGGAGGTGGCCTGGCCGCCTGTTTGAGACGCAGAATCGAAGAGGTGTACTTCGAATTTATCCGGATGGGTAGCCAGCATCGACACGCAGGACTGAATTTCATGTTAGTGGATTCGCTGAGGCTAAAGATACGTGGATGACTGACCATGCCTGCTGCCCCTGCGCCTACGACAGCGATTTTCTTTCGAGGACTGTCGGTGGCCATTGCTATACTTGTAGGTCCTAATTACATGGGGAAGGTCTTGTCAGTGGGAAGAGATCCGATGGAAGTCTGGAACAGGGCTGGGATGTTAATCATGACGTCAGGCGGGTTTCCGCTTTGGGCAATCCGTATACTAAGCACGTGGACAACACAGCAGACAGACCAAGATTATAATTTCAACACTTTTCAACACTGTGATAAAGTACAAAACCATGTAGCTGGTGTCAGTCCTGATATACATAAAGCATCAAACGAACGCAGGATATTGAAGCCAAAATGTGCATGGAAGGACTAGACAACTGAAGAGATACCGGGAAATCAGCAACGTCAGAATAAATACAAACGCATGATAAACAAAGAACAGACACTGTAGATTGAGACAACAGATGGTGACAAAGATGGTGGCAACCGATAGTGACAAATGAACAGATTGGTCATCCGAGATCAGAATAGGCGGACGAGGCGCCGATAGTGACTCAATTCACTCAAGTTGAGTTGTCGGATGTCCCCCCTCATCACATCACATCAGCCTTCCCTCCCATTGTCCCCCACTCCATCCTGCCCTCCTCACCTTTTCCCTTCAATCACAATTTTGAGAGAAAAACAACCGATACCACGAAAGAAAGAAGCCAAGGAAATGGCAAGTCTACCCCAGTCCATCCGACCATAGCCATTCTAACTTACATCAGGCGCAACCGACCCTGGAAGGTCTACCGGTGGAACTACACATTTCCATTCTATTCACCCTACCGGATCTGAACTCTCTATGGTCGCTTATCCTTGCATCTCCCACATATTACGGCGCATATCAGCTAGTGCAAAAGGAGCTCCTCCAAACCCTTTTACATAAGCACTATGCCGGCCTCGTGAACATCGCAGATGCAATAGCCGCCATTCGCTCCAAAGGGCTATATGCCGGTGACATGTCCAACAAAGAGAAGATCATCGCCCTTCTCGATGCCCGACGCCGCAGTGAGGAGATCCGTCGGCTGGGACTCATATCTGGGCCCCTACCCGACGAACCGGCCGATCTCCAAGAGACAATGCAGCTATTGCGGCTGCATAATCAGGCCATCGTCTTCCTCGATGATTACTGCACATCTGCAAAACGACCAGCCTGGATAGACGAAACCGAGTGGAACAATGACATTGTACCACTGGTCCTATCGGAGACCGAGAAGCGGCGCATTCTCCGCGCCTTTTATCGACTGCAGATCCACTGCAACATCTTTGGTGCCTTGGAGCATTCCCCTGATGAAGACAGCGGATATATCTCCGATGACAATGAGTGGTACGCAAAGAACAAGACCTTCAGCGGCGAAGAGATGTGGCATCTATTCTTCAGCCCGATGGCTCCATGGGAGATCGAAGAGTTTGGCTGTCTATGGGAGCATTGTTGTTACCGATATGAAGCCATCCTCGCCGAAATCTCAGACAGCTACATCAAGATCGGGTTTACTTTCCTGCGCGAACTTCCCAAGGACCAACAACCCCCTCGTGCTTGCGTCTATGGTGACTGTGACGATTTCAGATTCTCCGTTAATAAACGAGAAAGCCTGGCTTCCAAAGGACCAGCACTCCTACCCGATGTCCTTCGAGAAGATGATTTCCTGGCCCGTCGAAACTTAGTGGTCGTGAACGTGCGATGGACGCGAGACTATTTCTATGACTTTGATTATTGGCCAAGGCCTGACTTTGGACCTGGGGAGGTGCATCTCCTTTATCCGGCCGACCAATTCGACTTTGGTACGGACATGGATGGACTTCGAAAGCTCCTGGAGACATTGCTACCCTGGGAGCGACCGAATCTAGCCTGGGAGCGGAGATGGTCCCGGGATGACAATGATTTTCCTCAACTCTTTTGGGATATGTTCGAGTATGGAGCTGACAATAAACATTGGCGGTGGGGGTACGCGTTCTGGGAGAATGAGCGAGTGATTGAGTGGAAGATGCCGATGCTGGCCGACGACTATCCTTTTGCGGATTCTTCGGGCGAGATTTAGCATTTCTTGTATTGATTCGTACTACCTGCCCTACTGTCTGACTCTTTCAAACATCCATTTCTCTCCTTCCCCATCCTAACCTGAACAACCCTACAAAACATACCGAAAATCCTCCATCTCCAAATCCGTCTTCCTCGACAACCCCAACGCCAACTCCTGACTCTCCGTCATCTGCACCGGCAATCCAAACACCCGATCACGGCGCCTATTCTCCCACACATAGTAACCCAACAAACCCCCCAGGAAAAACGCCCCTAGCGCTAACCCCGAAACCGCCGCTTTCATGCCCGTCTACACCACACACCATTAGCAATCACACAACCCACAATACATCCAAACACAACCATAGTACATACCGGATAATAAGGTTCCTCAGATGAATAAAAAAACTGCGGCCCCACAATATTCCCCACGCAGTAGGCAACAAACAGCATCGCGCTGGTGGTACTCCGTTTCGTGAACCCGGCTACATTCGAACTGATGAGACTCAATGACAGGGGGATATTGACTGCGAAGACAGCCCCCAGGGCGAGACCTGTTAATCGGCCCTTGCGGTTATCGTCGTCGAGTTTCCAGACGAGAATCATCCCGATTAGCGATACGGTGGTGTTGACCATCATCATGAGGATTCGGGTGTTGGGGATCAGTGTGGCTAGGCTGGCGGTTAGGAGGAGGAAGATGACTTGTGCGGCACCGAGGGGCATTTGCATGAGGAGGGAATGGAGTTCGGAGAAGCCGAAGCCGGTGATGATGATGGAGGAGAACTGGGGGGGGGGTTTAGTTGGTGGGTTGGTTGAATTGAGTTGGGGGGTGTAGGGAGGGGATGGGGGTTACGCTGGTGATGCCTCCGTTGCAGAGGTTGACGGAGAAGGTGTATAGCACTAGGAACCACGTCTGGGGGTCTTGGATGGCGAGCCAGGCTTGGTCCCATTTGAAGGAGCCTTGGTCCATCACGCCGGTTTTGTTGGCGAGGGTGCGTTGTACGGCGATGGTGCGTTCGGTTGGGGTGAGGAAGATGGCTTTTTTGGGGGAGTCGGGGAGGAGGATGATGAGGAAGAAGGAGATAAATGCTGTGATGGCGCCTAGGAAGAGGAAGAGGAGTTGCCAGCTGGCGATGGTGTGGGTTCTGATACTGCCGATGCCGTAGGCGACGACGCCGCCGATGACGGTTGAGATGCAGTTTCCGAGGAACCAGGCGGATTGGCTGGGTTGTTAGCTTGGTTGGGACCAAGTTTGGAGGGGCTTACCGTGCTGGCTGTTCTTCACGCTTGTAGAACATGCCGGTGATGAGGGAGAAACCAGGCGCAATGGCAGCTTCGCCGACGCCCAGGAAGAATCGGGCAGCGACGAGGCCCCCGAAGTCCTTTGCGGCCGCGTGGCACATTAGGATGCCTCCCCATATCAACCTGGATGGCATCAGCGTTGCTCTTGAGGTGTATGTAAAACGCACACTGAGGCACTGATGTACTTGCCAATAGGCAGATGGACGATGAGGTATGAACTGGGCCAGCTCCAGGCGAAGTATCCGATGTAGAAGACGGCGGATGTCCAGGTGTATTCCTGACCTGTGAGATGCTATGCAAATCAGTATCTGCATTGCAGCTTGTTGGCTAACCTACCAGGTCCTCTCGCAGGTTGAACATGGTAGCCTGACTCAGAGCCAGCTTGTCCATGTACTGCATCATATAACAGACTCCCATCAAGGGAATCAATCTTTCTTGTAAGTACCTCCTCAACGGCAGATGCTATGGACATACATCATATCTAACTTCCTCAGGATATTTTTTTCCTGCTCTGGCGTGGCCTCCACTTCCAATACCTGGCCAATTCCGACATCTCGGGCTAGTGTTGCTTTTTGTTTCAGTTTTGAGTCCAACTCTAGTGTCTCCGGAGGATTCGTATATTGATGGTCCATGGTGCTGATTGATAAAAGCCCACGGCATGAGCTGAGAATTCCTACTTGTTATATACGGGGATGCGCGACAAGTCATCGCTTATAAGATCAACAGCCCTCAAACCAGGTCACGGAATCAAGCGCAGATTTCCGCGATCACGGCTGATGTTCGGTACAAGCCAGCCCCCAGTGCCTCACGGGATTGCAAGCAAGTTAATCCATATTGATGTCTTGTCCGCCCTCTGGGTTTGTCGATCTGAGCAGATGTACGTAAAAGAGGCTCGTGGAAGACTTTCCCTATCTCGCCCATCGGGATCGAGGACGGGCAACCCAATAGCTCCGGTTGGTTAGGAAGTATGAAAATGTACACAGGCTGACAATCGGATCGATTATCACTCAAGTTCAGTGGCATTCCTTGATAAAGCCAAGGGATCCGTCGGCAGATGCGCCAATGCGGTGCGCCGCTCGGCAACCATGCAGCATTGATCCATCCTCCCCACAGCTTATCCTCGTATTTCCACTGGTTTATGCCGCTGCAATATATCCAGGAGGAGCTGCTGCGCCTCCCCCGCAGATTCGATCCTGCGGAGAAGTGCATCAGAACACCACGTTGGACGAAATGAGGGTCTAAGTAGCCTGCTCCACTTCCCTGCTGTTATCTGCCGAGCTATTGCCCTGATAATTGATAGCGTCGATAGCGCGGATTATTCATATCGCCTTCTTTCCGTGGTCCTTGGGCTTGTCGCTTGATAACGCAATCTTAACGAGGCGGGGTGCACAACCGAGCATGCCCACATCCTATCAATGTGACTCGATCGCATCGGGATTTGATATCATCGGCCGAGGTTATCGCTTATTGCCCGCCATAGCAGGGTGTCGGAAAGCATATATGACGCCGGCAGATATCCTCGGGTTCGACGTTCAGCAAACATACATTGACTGACAAGCACCATGACTGTTGCGCAAACCATCGCCTACAACGTTCCAAACATTGAGGAGGTCAAGGCCTCGGTTGATGCAGCGTTGAAGATTTTGCAGACATCGCTTCGAGAACTCAACAGAGAAGTAAGCCTGGTTTAATTCGCTGTATTGCAGCGAACTGACATCATCAGATCTGGTCCAACCCAGAAACAGCATACCAAGAGCATCGAGCTCATGACACCATCTGCGGCTTTCTCGAGAACCAGGGTTTTACCGTAACCCGCCATGCATACGGACTGGACACCTCCTTCGAAGCCATCAGCGGGTCTGGGGGACGACTGATCAATTTCAATGCCGAATACGATGCTTTGCCCGACATTGGTCATGCCTGTGGCCACAACCTCATCACCACAAGCAGCATGGCTGCATTCCTCGCCTTATCCGCCATTCTAAAACAATATGGGATCCCGGGTCGCACCCAGCTTCTCGGTACTCCCGCGGAAGAGAATGGAGGCGGAAAAGCCAAGCTGATTGATGTGGGTGCATACAAGGGTGTGGATGTGTCATTGATGGCGTATGTTCTTCCCTCTAATTCACAGCTTCATCTAACTCCTCAGTCACGCCGGCCCTAAAGAGCTCTTCCCTGGCGTCATCACAGACGGCGTTGGTGGAGTGCTCATGAACGCTCGTAAAGAGATCCATTGCGAATTCACCGGCCGGAGTGCCCATGCCGGTGGCAATCCCTGGGAGGGAGTCAATGCTCTCGATGCCCTGGTGACATCGTACAACAATGTTTCCGTCCTACGCCAGCAACTTCGTCCGGATGAACGCATCCACTGTGCTTTCCTGGACACCCCTAAGGTGGCCAACGTGATCCCTGCCTACACCAAAGCGTACTGGCAGGTCCGGAGTCCGACGCTGAAGGGGTTGAATCGGTTGATGGCCAAGGTACGGAACTGTATCGAAGCAGGTGCATTGGCGACCGGCTGTGAAGCAAAGATTATCGAGTATGTTAAGATGCAAATGTGTGTACCGGGCTAACATGACCAGGAACGAACTCTACACTGACGTCAAGATCAACGACACCCTGTGCGACCGGTATCAAGCGCATATGGCCAAGTATGATCGGAATGTCCTGAAGCGACACGAGAAGGTCTTGACGGGGTCGTCGGATATCGGTAGGCACCACGCGTTTATCATGGAACTCTTCTGACTTTTCCAGGCAATGTCAGCTACCTCGTACCGACACTGCACACCATGTTTGGGATCACGTCCGAAGAAGGATCCTTCCCCCATCATCCCACATTTGCTGCTGCAGCTGGCACAGACTACGCTCATGAAGAAGCGGTGATTGTGGGCAAGTCTCTGGCGTTGATTGGATGGGAGATGGTGACGAGCGATGAGTTGTTTGGGGTTGCGCAGAAACAGTGGAGGGAGTGTATTGCAGAATAAACTGAAGCTCGAGATCGGCATATCCCTATATTCACCTTTCTGCAGAATATTCCGCTCAGGATGATTCTCTGTCTTTCCTCGGCGATATCCCAGGGGTAAAATCCCGTCACTTTAGTATACTCCATAGAACTAGACCTCTTAGCCTGATTGGATGTCCAACTGATGATCCCTGCTTTGGTGGTGCTGGCTTGTCTCAGCCACAACCCCAAAGGATGACATCTGAGACACGGTTGAAGTAAGTCTGCGACCGGTCCCGATAGGGCTGAACCACCTCGCTGTATATAGAGATCCATCCTTCATAAAATAATCGATTGCATCTCTCTCATGCTACGAGTCAGTTTGCTTTCCGCTGACTAAGCATGGCAACGTTTGACGGCATTTCCTATCGTTCCACTTGATCTTCAATTTTTCCGATGAACTTTCCCGCTGCCCTCCACGTCCCCTTAATAGTGTGGAACTGGTCATTCTCCCTGCCTTCACTAATGCCTACCGGTTGAACCAACTATCACCAAGTGGGCCATTCATTCCATGTCGGGACGGAACGCGCCTCGCTCGAAGAATGGTATGTATGCTACTTACTTACTCTTGGCGGAAGCACCGGCATCATCCAGCTGACTCGTGTGGCAGGCTGCAGCACCTGCCGCCGTCGTAAAGTGAAATGTGGTGAAGAACGGCCGGTGTGCAAGCGATGTGCCAACCTGCGCCTGGCCTGCGAGTGGGGGATTCCCGTCAAGCGCGGCAAAGCCCATGCCCCTGTTCGGCACCTGCAGCCGGCGCAGCCTCGCTGGGCCAGCGATGTCATCACCACCACCACTTGCATCCCCTCGGACACGCCCTCGCCTTCGTACACTGACGTGTCCAACGGCATCCTACATCCCCATTATGCCACTACCCTCGCTACCCTTTGGCATCGGCAGTCCCCCGCAGCCCCGGATTTGACCCCGGTTTCCCCAGACGTCATCTTCCCCACGGGCTGGCCGTTTCCGCCCTATCCCCAACCTTCACCCTTATACCGGCCTCTATCGGAACCCGGTCTGGTCTGCAACAACTCGCTCGTCTTGACCGAGCATGACCAAAAATACTTTCGGTACTTTCCCTCCTCGTCCGTGGTGTATTACTATATGAAAAATTGGCAATGGAGTAGTTTTCGGTATCTGTATGAAGGGCCCGCGACCACCAGCAAGGTGATCATGCGGATGATTCTGGCTTTGTCGGCGAGTGATATGCATCGCAATGGTCTGGCGGTGCGGTCGCCAGGTCGTCCCACGGCCGAGGACCACGGTCGGTACCATTACGGCATGGCCGTCAAGGAATTCCGGCAATTGCTGGAAACGCCCAAACCCCAAATATCGTTTGCGGAGCTCGAGATGATCTTCGCCACTATGTTCTTGATGGTCGCGTATGAGTGGCAGTTTGGCCATTGCATGCGCCATCTGCACCTGCATCTACAGGGGGTGCGGTCGTTACTGGAAACCCATCCGGAGCTGTTCCATGTCCGGGACGTCAACGAGGTGTTGCTGGCGATGGAGGCAGAACAGCCAAGTGACACGGTGACGCGGGCTTCATTTATCTCGGATCAGTTCTTACTATGGATCCTGTGAGTTTTTCATCGTGTTGATAGACATTGCTAATCGGCTAGATATATCGATGTCACCCGACGATCGATCGGAACGACAGAGTCGCTGTACGACTACGTACTCAACTCGGATAACGAATCGCTCCATCCCGACCATCTGTACCGCTGCGCACGGCTATGGAGCCGCTGCTTCTGGGGGAAGCAGTATCCGGACCAGGAGGTATCGGACGACATGGAGAACTACCGGGCGTTAGAGTTTGTGCACGTAGGCTACACCCTATGGCATAAGCTGTGGAAGTGCCTGGACAAGAGCAGCACCTACACTGGCGATGGACTTTTCACCGAAATGATGACAGTTCGCGATGTACGTATACCCCTCCTCTATAATTCCCTGCTAACTGTCCAGAAATACTCGGACCTCCTCCTAACCGCCAAATTCGCCAGTCCAGGCTCCACCCGACGCACCCTCAACACCATCTACCTCGCCGTCAACAATTTCTACGGCCAGATTCTCTTCCACCGACGTCTCTTCGACCCTGTACACCCTCCCACCGCTCTCCACCGCCAAGCCCTCACCAACATCATCGACAACGCCCATAAGCAGTATACCGCGGATCCTCGTCTCCTCCGCCGCCTCCACTGGCCCCTCCTCATGGCCATCGTCGAGACCGACGACCCGATCCAACGCGAATGGCTCCGCGAACGTCTCTCCGAGATGCGAGCCTTTCACTCGGAACACATGTGGGCGTTTGAAATTGCCGAGGACGTTCTCGCTCATCAAGACCCAAGTATAGGAGAGTATGCCAATCTGGCTGAAGTGCTGCGCAATCACCAGATTAGTGTGTTATAGCATAACAATGTACATACCACCACCACACATATACTACATATAATTATATCCATCTTATCCCTCATACCCACTGGGATAAAAGAATAAGGAGAAAGATTAATCCTCCAAAAAATACGCATCATACGCCACCTCCCCCTTCGCCCTCGTGGCCCGTCCCACAACCACCCGATTATTCATCCACCGATACTTCTCATGCCCTGTCTCCAGTTTAATATGTAAATGAAACCAGTATTGATCAGGATCTACCGCGTCGGGACTCTCCATCAGGGCCCTCAGGACGTCTGGGGGACCGGAGCGTGTTCCTTCTGTTCTATATTACTCTTAGCATTACCTGTATTGTTCACTTGCACTACATATCCTAGAAAGAAAAAGTGTAAGTAACGTACCGAACGTATATATACGCCCCGTCGTGGGATTTGATCACGTAATTGGTATTCACATGCGTAGTCTGATTCTCCTCTACTAACCTGCACATATACTTAGCACGCACTCATCATTGTTTAATCCCAAGAAAAGAAGAAATAGGGATGGGAGGTAATGAAGGATGGGTGGGGGTACATAAAATCCGCCCCTCCCGGAACAATCTCCCCCGAGAGATACTTCCCTCGTACAGTGCCGGAGGTTATGGGTATGCAGCGACGACGGCCGTATGGGCCGGGACCGATTTCGAGGGGGGGAGAGACGGTGCAGGTTAGGGTGAATAAATGGACTAGGTTTGGGGGTGGTAGTAGGGTTTCCATGTTTTCTTGAGTTGGGGGTTGTTGTATTTGGGGGGTTGGTTTGGGGAGTATGGTTTAGTAGTGAAGGGGGGAGGAGAGGGGAGGGGAGGGGAGGGGATATGTACTCTAGTATGTAATTACGTGAATTGGGAGGGGAGGGGAGGGAGAGGGAGGGGAAGGATGGGGTAGGTAGGTGGGTGGAGTATGTAGATGTGATGGGATCGGATTGGAGGTCGGTAGTCGTGTGTGGGGTCTGAGTGTGCCTAGGTTCAGGTTGATATGTTGGTTTCTTGGGGGTGTTATTTGGGTAGTGGTTTGAGTCTGGGTCTGGGTTTAAAGTGACATCATGGTCAGTTGTGCTGAGATCTATCCACCTTGAAGCTTCTGACAGTTGGTGATCGTCAGGGTATAAAGTATCTTTTATTCCTTCGTAGCAAGAGTAGGTGTCAATAGAATATTGAGATCTGTCTATCAATTACTGTTCTCAGATCATCGCTATGGCTGCTGATCAAAGGTATGAACCTAGTCTGCGGGTATTCTGGATATACTTCACTGCACTAGCAGTAAGGCTGCCACGCACAAATGGATATTCCTATTAACACACCGAACGCCTACCCAGATAATTATGCACATATTCCAGTCCAACACTGGTCGAGCCGCATCCGCTCCCATCAAGGTGGTATAATGTTACACGCTTGACCTGACCCACTCGAATCAATCGCAAGTTCCATTTCGAACGAGTACCATGGCCTATTATCGCTGACACCGGTCGATCGATCGTTTACGCGCCACCGACGAGGACGTTGTTAACAGGGATGTGGACTACAATCGTTAGCACAATCCAGCCAAACCCCAATCAGAGGAATAAACATACTCAGTTTGACAATGTATCCAATGAATCCCATAATCAGGAACCCAGTACCAACAGCCTGGCTGATCTTGATGAACTCGCGCTTGTCGGCTGTTCCAGATTAGCTGAATTCAGGGACACCAGAGCTGAGGGATTGGATCACTCACGCTTCTGGCTGCGGTTGACGAATTGCATACCATCCCTCAGGAATTCCCGAGGGACGTTGAGAAGCTCTTGCACCTGGTCGGACATTTTGAGGTGGTTGGATGGAGTGTCGGGGAGATGGAGGTGTGGTGAAGACAAGACGCGAATGGGCCAGCTGTGCTTTGGGGTCGGCGAATAATGGCCGGGAGGCTTCGAAGGGGGCGGATTATCTCCCTTCCGGGGGTCACTGGCCACGTATCAGTTCGTTGGTGGGTGTGGCTGGTGCAGCCACAGTGTGGCGGTGGCCCGGATTACCCCGGAATTACTCCGAGTTGTTCCAGTCACGGCTGAGACTCTATCCATGTGGGGGTTATCGTCTTGTTTGATGTTGGTCAACCAACGTGCATCTGATTGCTTGCTGTTTATTCGCAGAGGCTTTGAGATCTATGATGTTGGGATTTCTGCTTCATCAAAGCTGATGGTATATCTACCGGCTTAAGAACGCTGCAGTAGCCAAAAAGAATGCAGACACCAGTCTGACTGCCACCACTATGTTAACCATGCTAAACATTCTACCTGCCAACAAGTCTCGCCAGCTAACTGCTCGATGATGCATGATCCGTTTTGGTGAGCTGACACGCTATCGAGGCGCGATAAAGATGCTGAATAGCACTGGAATAAATATAGATTTCTCATCGATATTTCAAATCTCTATGGACAATCTGTACAGCAATCTCAGGACCGATCAGCCCTCCAATGGCTGCGCTACTACTGAACAGCGTCAGCCTGCATATATCGGCAGACCCGCTGCATAAGCTGCACCTATCTGAGTATCGCCTTGCAGGAGCTGAGCTCGATCGTCCTGATAGTACATCCACCAATAACAACCATTACTACAGCAGATAAGCCATGCAGGTGTGATTCGTCCCATCGGTCAGCTGAAGCAATGGACTCCATATAAGACACCCCCGACCATGCATTCATCTCAGCAACACACAACATGTCTATCCAAGCAGCATGGGAGTCTTGCTCCAAAACGGACACCCTCTTCATCCTCGTGTGTTCCGTCTTCTGCTGGCTCATCATCCCCGCCGTCGGTCTCGCCTACTCAGGCTACTCGACTCGCTCCAACAGCATCGCTTCGTTCTATCCCGGGCTGCTGGCCGTCGCCGTCTGCTCGATCCAATGGTGGATGCTCGGGTACTCGCTCGCCTACGGCGAAGGCAACGGATTCTTCGGGGGATTCAGCAAGGTCTTTCACATCGGGGTTCTCGCTGACCCGGTCGGCACAATCCCCGAGATCCTCTTCTCGGAGTTTCAGCTCATCTTCTGCGCGACCGTGTGCGCCATTGCGATCGGAGGAGCCTGCGAGCGAGGCAGACTCCTCCCACTGATTCCGTTCATATTTGTAAGCCATACCTACCTTGCCTCGATAACCACTAATTTTCATAGCTATGGTGCACCTTCATCTACGCCCCCCTCGCCCACATGGTCTGGTCGGATAACGGCTTCCTCGCTAACCTGGGTGCCCTTGACTTCGCCGGTGGTACTCCGGTGCACATCTGCAGCGGCGCCACTGCTACCGCTATGAGCGTCTACCTCTCCTACCCTCAATTCCGATCGCGTCGCTCCCAGATTCGCACCCCGCAGCACCTGACCCTCCACCGACCCCATAACACTCTCTGCCAGCTGCTCGCACTGATAATCATTTGGAACGCATGGCTTGCCTTCGACGCCGGAACAACTCTCGCTCTGAACTTCAAAAGCGTCATGGCCGCCTGCGTGACGAACCTCTGCGCCTCATCCGGCGCCCTTACCTGGGCTAGTCTCACCTACTGGGAGACCGGAAAATGGAGTCTCGACAGCACATTCCTCGGTGCGATCGCCGGCCTCGTCCTCATCACACCCAGCGCGGGCTTCATCGACATGAGCACAGCCATGGGCTTTGGCATTCTCGGCGCTGTCTGCGGATACCAAGCTCTGAAGATCAAGTTCACGAAGCGGGCAAAGCTCTACCGCTGGGTCGACAACGGAGACACCTTTGCTACGCACTGTCTGGGCGGGTTCCTGGGTACAATCGTGACGGGATTATTCGCGCAACGCTCGGTCGCAGCCTACGACGGGGTGACGGATATCGCGGGCGGGTGTTTCTTCGACGGGAACTGGCGACAACTGGGAATACAAATCGTCGAAGCGCTAATCGGGTTCGTATGGAGCTTTGGCGGAAGCTACATTCTCTATGCCTTGATCGACTGTGTGCCTGGTTTCGAGGTGTTGGCAACCGATGAGTATGTCCCCACCTCACCTTCCAACCTCAACTAACATATCCAGGGACATAATCGCCGGAATGGACAAATCACAAATGAACGAATCCCTACACGAAGCCCAATGGGCAGGAGAAGAAGACTACCACCCATTTGAAGGAATCCGCTTGTAGCATGCATATGATATCATTCCACCCCATCAATATCTTACTCTCGCTCAGTCAGTCCATTTCCACCCTATATGTACCATCTAGTTAAAAACGACAGTCTTATGGCCATTAAGCAACACCCTCCTCTCAGCAAAATACTTCACCGCCGTAGCCAACACATTACTCTCAACATTCGAACCCGCATGAGTCAACTCCTTCGGACTCATCGCATGATTCACCCTCACCACATTCTGCTCAATAATCGGACCCTCATCCAAATCACTCGTGACAAAATGCGCCGTAGCACCCACAATCTTGACACCCCGATCAAACGCCTGATGATACGGCTTCGCGCCCTTAAAACTGGGCAAGAAGCTATGATGAATATTGATAATCTTCCCGCTCATCGCCTCACACAACGTAGGCGACAACACCTGCATGTACCGCGCCAACACCACAAGATCAATGTTATGTTCGCGAATGAGCTCCAGAATCCGTCCCTCCTGCTGGGGCTTGGTGGCCGCCGTCACAGGGAGATGCAAGAACGGGATGTTGTATGTTGCGGCCAGGGTGGCGAAATCCGGGTGGTTGGACACGATGAGGGGGATTTCGATGGCGAGTTGGCCGGTCGACGCCCGGAAGAGGAGATCGTTAAGGCAGTGGCCGATCTTGGAGACCATGATTAGGACCCGGGGCTTGGTGGAGGCGGTCACGAGCTGGAAGTCCATGGAGAGGGAGGTGGCGGTGGGTTCGAAGGCGGAGCGAAGTTCCGTGAGGGATTGGCCCGGGTTGGACTCGTCTTTGAAGTGCACGCGCATGAAGAAGCGCTCGCTGGTCGGGTCGCCGTATTGGCTGCTGTCGATGATGTTGAGGTTTTGTTGGACGAGATAGGCGGTCACGGCGTGGACGATGCCCGGGCGGTCCGGGCAGGAGAGGGTGAGGATGTAGCTCATTTTGGTGGTAGATTGACTTTTCAGCGAGGGGTGGTGAGGGGATGTGATGTGATGTGATGTGATGTGATGTCGGATTCATGGGAGGTGACGGGGGAGGATTTCGCGCCCCGCCGGTTGCGGCGAGGATCCTTGCCGGTTTGCGTGGCTGACGAGGCGGGGTGGTGATTGATAAGATTAGGGCTTCAGCTTAGGGCTTATGTGGGAGTCACATGGTCGTGGGATGCCGTGGTTATCAGGCCATCGGGTCGGATTACCGGATACACAACGGCTGTTTCTCCTGCTGACAGACGCCACAGTCCGGCCCATTGCCGCTTTGGTCAAGGATGGCGTCCCTTGGAGCACGGTGTGATGGTGCTGGAGATTGGGCGGCGTCGTCTTAATTAATGATACGAGCTGGGTCGGGATGCGGTCCGCATACCCGTATCATATTGGGAGCAATTGCAGAGGCAGCAGAGGCAGCACATTGAGGAGATGGGGACAGCAGTTGAGACAGCATGGGGAAAGGCAGCTTGGATGAGGGTATAAAACCCTCGTCCTGCCCTTCCCTGCTCATCACACAGCACATCATCTTCGGCCAACAGCACAGCGCAGCAACAGGGCAGAACAGCATGTCTTCCTTCCATGTCTACCGGGCAGCTCTGCTGCTCTCCATCCTCGCCACCAGCCAGGCTCAGCAGGTCGGCACCTACCAGACCGAGACGCACCCGTCTCTGACCTGGCAGACCTGTACCAGCAGTGGCTGCACCACCAACGACGGTGAGGTCGTCATTGACGCCAATTGGCGTTGGGTCCACGAGACCAGCGGCTACACCAACTGCTACACCGGCAACACCTGGGATGCTTCCATCTGTCCGGATGATGAGACCTGCGCCGAGAACTGCGCACTCGAGGGCGCCTCTTACTCGTCGACCTACGGCGTGACCACGAGCGGCGACGAGCTGCGTCTGAACTTTGTCACCACGTCCTCGAGCAAGAACATCGGGTCTCGTCTGTACCTCATGAGCGACGATAGCAACTATGAGCTGTTCAAGCTCCTCAACCAGGAGTTCACCTTTGACGTGGATGTCTCCAACCTCCCTTGTGGCCTCAACGGTGCTCTGTACTTTGTCGCCATGGACGCCGACGGCGGCACCTCCAAGTACTCGGGCAACAAGGCCGGTGCCAAATACGGTACCGGATACTGTGACTCGCAGTGTCCGCGAGACTTGAAGTTCATCGATGGCGAAGCCAACTGCGACGGCTGGGTGTCGTCCACCAACAACGTCAACACTGGCGTGGGCGACCACGGCTCCTGCTGCGCTGAAATGGACATCTGGGAAGCGAACAGTATCTCGACTGCGTTCACCGCGCACCCCTGCGATACCCCAGGTCAGGTCATGTGCGATGGTGATGAATGTGGCGGGACCTACAGCTCCACGTCTGACCGCTACAGCGGCACTTGCGATCCTGACGGCTGTGACTTTAACACGTACCGTCTGGGCAACACCAGCTTCTACGGCCCGGGTCTGACCGTTGACACCAACAGCCCTTTCACCGTGGTGACGCAGTTCATCACCGACGACGGTACCTCGTCCGGCACGCTGACTGAGATCCGGCGGTTGTACGTGCAGAACGGCGAGGTTATTGCCAACGGCGCGTCAACCTACTCCAGCGCGAGCGGAAACTCCATCACGTCTTCCTTCTGTGACGCGGAGAAGACGCTGTTCGGCGACGACAACGTGTTTGACACGCACGGTGGACTCGAGGGCATGAGCGCCGCCATGGCGCAGGGCATGGTTTTGGTCCTGAGTCTGTGGGACGACTATGCCGCCGACATGCTATGGCTGGACAGTAACTACCCGACCAACAAGTCGTCCACCACTCCCGGAGTGGCCCGGGGTACTTGCAGCGTCGACTCTGGTGTTCCGTCTGATGTGGAGGCGGAGTACCCCAATGCGTATGTCACGTACTCGAACATCAAGGTTGGACCGCTTGGGTCGACCTACTCGAGCGGGTCTGGATCGAGCTCGAGCTCAGGTTCCACCACAACTACGGCCAAGGCGACTTCGACTACTAGCAAGGCCACCTCGACTACCACCAGTGGAAGTTCGACCTCGGTGGCGTCGGCGTATGCCCAGTGTGGCGGACAGGGATGGACTGGAGCCACTCAGTGTGCGAGTGGATACACCTGCACTTATGAGAATGCGTACTACTCGCAGTGTTTGTAATTGCAGAGAGCAATATAGGAAGATTGGAGTGATGTAGTTACTCGTACTACTGAGAATATGATTTGTTGATTGCAACCTTTTACAAACCTTCCTAGAATGTAAAGTAAACCTGACAACACTACCTACCCTAGTCCAAACTCAACATGAATCAATTACCTACATAATTAACTCCCCCAATCACACACCCAACCCTGAAGAACTGTCCCACTCCTCTGACCTTCTCCCACTGAACTAGCGCTGACAGCCATGCCACATGGAGGAACGGGATAATCTCCGCATCCAATGCATAGAAGCTTGGCCAGTCGATCCGGGCGTTTCCGATCCCAAGAGCACCTGCAGCAGATCCGTGACGAATCCGTCTGTCCGTTTCTCTTCGGGAAACCTACCGTCTGGACGGAGGACGGGCCGAAGGGCCGCATCCCAACAATCAGACACAATATATCCAATTAGGTATATAAAGCACCCACAACCACCGACCCAGAGTCCACACCACCAACACCAACACAGATACAGAAACAATGAAACTCACCCTCCTCGCCTTCCTCCTCGCCTTCCTCCTCGCCCAGGCGTGGGCTAGTCCCCGGGCCAAACGGGCCTCTTCTTTCAAATGTGCCCCTCCCCCATTTACCACCCCCACTCATTCAAATACTAATAAAATAACAGGGTTCGGCAGCAACGTTTCCGGCGCCGAATTCGGGCAGGGAAATATCCCCGGCACCTTAGGAACAGACTACATCTGGCCGTCTGCAAGCGACATCACGCCGCTCGTCAACGCAGGGATGAATATCTTCCGGGTGCCGTTTCTTATGGAACGTTTGGTGCCGGATAATTTGACTGGTGAGGCGGATGCCACCTACATGGCGGATTTGAAGGCTGTATGTGTATGCCCTCGTGAGGTGGTGGGGTGTGGCTGATGTGGAGTAGACGGTAAAAACGATTACGGATTTGGGGGCGTATGCGGTGGTTGATCCGCATAATTTTGGGAGATAGTATGTATTCCCCACATTCTTTAGGGATTGATTTGGGTATTGGTGTGTGGCTAATTCATCACTAGTTACGGCGAGATCATCACCTCAACTAGTGACTTTGGGGCTTTTTGGACGACCGTTGCGAAAGAGTTTACCGATAATGACTTGGTTATTTTTGATACCAGTATTCCCCCTCCTCCCTCCACCCTAACGGAGTGAATAGTAACAGAAGAATAGATAATGAATACCACGACATGGACCAAACCCTCGTCCTCAACCTCAGCCAAGCCGCCATCAATTCCATCCGATCTGTCGCCACAAGCCAATACATCTTCATCGAAGGCAACTCCTACAGCGGCGCCTGGACCTGGACCACCACCAACACCAACCTCGGCAACCTCACCGACCCCAGCAACAAACTCATCTACGAGATGCACCAGTACCTGGACAGTGATGGGTCCGGGACGAGTTCGACGTGCGTGAGCTCGACGATTGGCGCGGAGCGGGTCGCCGATGCCACGACCTGGTTGAAGGAGAATGGGAAGTTGGGCGTGTTGGGGGAGTTTGCGGGCGGGGCGAATACGGTTTGTGAGGATGCGGTCGTGGGGATGTTGAGTGCTTTGGAGGAGGCCAGTGATGTGTGGTTGGGGGTATGTGGTGGTCGGCTGGTCCGTGGTGGGGGGATTATATCTTTTCGTTGGAGAGTGGGGGGGTTGCGTATGAGTATTATTTGGACGTCTTGGAGGGGTATACTCCTGGTGGTGCTACTGGTACTAGTAGTGGTGTTGGGAGTGCGACGAGTACGGCTACTAAAGTGAGTACGACTACTGCTGCTGCTACGACTACGGTTACGGCGACAGCGACAGGAACAGCAGCGCACTATGCTCAATGTGGTGGTGATGGATGGACAGGCGCGACGACTTGTGCGGATGGGTATACCTGCACGAAGATGAATGAGTATTATTCGCAGTGTTTGTAGGACTACTTAGTTTAGTTATCTTTTACTCAGTTAACAGAATGATTACTATCATGGAGTATGCTATGGAGTATGAGTATACCAGATCGTAGATAAGATATCGGCTGCATGTTCCGGCCCGATGCCGATGTCTCGGCTAAAGGCGTTCCCGCCCGGCAGTGGGAATTGCCGGTTGAATTTATCCATGTTTACGGAGTACGGAGTACTGTGTATGTATTGGTCTTTGTTTATGGTTGTGCCTAGTGGTTAGTGGTTAAGGTTATTGGAGGTGAGATGGGGTAAATGCTTGTTTATGAGGGGTTTGTTTTTGGGTTTGTTTGTATGAGGGGTAGGATGGATGATAGCTTGAGTTATATGGATTTCTTGCTGAATGAGAGGAATTGAATGATTATCGAGTTTTAAAGTAGGGTATTTGGTGTAAAGGATAACATATCATTGATTATTGCGAGCAAATGTGAGGTCAGCCGTTAAGAGTAAACTATGTAGATACTATGCTGTATAGTGAAGCAGACCCTGGAGTGGAGCAAGGGTCACGCACGTGCCTCTATATTCAAAGAGTAAGAATAAATAGCAGGGACCAGTAATATCTACCCATATGACAATTATGTACTCCGTATCGGTGAGAAGCATGCGGGGTTGAATGGAATTGGATTCTACCCTAAGACAGTAATATATACATATTCAGTCGATTATTGTCAAATGATCAGAGGGATAAATTTGACAATCCCCCTGTAAAGGGTTTATCGAGAGATAGACATGGAACAAAATGATTCAATTGTATAAGGAACCCCGGATTGCCGGGATTCTGAGCCGGCCCCCCGCATTGCCGGGACGGGGAAGGCGTCGGCAGACTGCCCGCCATTCTTCCCGATCGGCTGCCTTCTTCTCCGCCATTCTTCTCTCTCCCGGGCACCACCATGTTCCGCTCACTTTTACATTCATCCTCCAGATTCTCTTCTTCCTCACTGCTCTTTACTCCCTCGCGGTCTCTCACCCCCTACATTCCATCCGCATCCCTCTTCACCCCCACCCCATCCGCCAACATGAAGCACCATCTGATGGTCGGCACCTGGACCCCTCCAGGCCGCATCTACACCGTCGCTTTCGACGATGAAGCCCTCACCCTCGACCTGGTCAAGAAGACCGACATTCCCGAGGCCGAACCCATCTCCTGGATGACCTTTTCGGTACGCCAATCGCCCCATCTTGCATACCGTCGCTCACCTCCCGCAGCACGACAAGAAAGCCATCTATGGCGCCGCCATGAAGAAGTGGAACAGCTTCGCCGTTCACAGTCCGACTGAGATTGTCCACCAAGCATCCCACCCAGTAGCTGGCCATGGTGAGTATCCCTGCCCCTTTAAAGCACCACGCTAATTGTATAGAATTGGCTGCCAGCGCCGACACCAACACCCGCGCCATCTTCGTCCTCGCCGCCCACAAACCCCCCTACAACGTCTACGGAAACCCCTTCTACAAATACGCCGGCTACGGCAACGTCTTCTCCGCTGGTTCCGATGGCCAGCTCCTCGAGAACATCCAGAACTACGAATACGAGCCCAACACCGGTATCCACGGCATGGTTTTCGACCCCACAGAAACATACCTCTACTCGGCGGACCTACAGGCCAACAAGATCTGGACACACATCAAGGACGCAGAAACAGGCCAGTTGACTCTGGTGGACTGCATCGAGGCCCCGTCGCCCGACGACCACCCCCGCTGGGTTGAAATGCACCCCAGCGGCAAATACCTATACGTGCTGATGGAAGCGGGCAACCGGTTAGCCGTCTATGTCATCGACGAGCGGACACACAAGCCGGTCTTCACCCACATCACCTACCCCCTGCTACCTGTTGGTAAGTCAAAAGGCCCCGCCCATCACACCTCAACCACCCAATCTAACCAACCAGGTCTCCCCCCTCGCAACAAATACCGCGGCGACGTGACCTTCACCACCCGCAGCGGCGAGTACCTCTTCGCCACGACTCGCGGCAACTCCTTCGACATCACCGGCTACATCACGGCGTTCAAGCTGGGTCCGAACGGCAACATCGAGCGTCAGTTGTTCATCCACCCCACGTCGACTAGCGGCGGTCACTCGAACGCAGTCAGCCCTTGCGACTTTAGCGATGAGTGGTTAGCGCTGTGCGATGATCAACTCGGGTTCGTGGAGATCTATCGCTTCCGGGATGAGACTCTGGCGCGGGTCGCGCGGGTGGATATCCCTGAGAAGGGATTCGGAATGAATGCTATTTGGTATGATTAATATGACTGTATGATAGATCAATATACTACTTTCAGGAAGTGCTGTAGATCTCTTCGTAAACACATGATCCTGAATAGATAGTAGTAATATCCCCAGATCCACTTGACAGCCGCCATCTCCATATCTCAAAGCTAAAACCCAATAGAGAAAAAATAGCCGACATAGAGAAGACTGGAGTCGATGACCGAATACGAGCCCCATTCCACTATTAGATATAGATAGTGTCGTATCGTATGGTTTCCCCTGAACCATTCATCAGGATATTCCTCTATCGTCTCACATTGCATCGCCTCGCATCGGATCTCATCAGATCAACATCCGAATACCACCGACATCCCCTCCCCCACAGCACCGAAACTAAGTATAGAAACAAACTTATGACAGACCCCTATCTATCCCCACCTACATCGAGATAGACAGACGACATCGTACAAAGTAAAGTTTCTATCCTGAAACACTAACACTATCCACTCGTACCAGAGGTAGCTATACTATAGATCACATATTTCCAAGAAACCACCCTTCATCATCAACCTACACATCATCCTCAAATAGATAGCTGATAGACAGATAGAGAGATAGATGGGGTATGGTTGATATATCACATCCCCCAAATCCCGAAGCAATTCCCGGTCCTCCACCTTACCCTCATTCCAAAATCAGGGAAACATTCCCCCAAAACTTGGAATATAGATATAAAGGATACATACATATAACACGTCGCTTACTAGATAACTAACTATCTATCTATATGGCATAGGTAAAAATAATACTGTAGTATGCAAGTCTCGCATATTCTATTCCCAACTCAACAAGAAGTGAAATAGATAAACTAAAATCCCCACTTCACCCTCGTATACGGAGTATGTCCTCGTCATTGACCCTACCCCTCCCCTCGGTAAGTCACTTCCCTACTATTTAGCTGATATTCCCCATGGATTTTCTCAGCCAAGAAAGAAGGAGTGTTTAGGATCCACTAAAGTAGGTGTCTAGGTATCTGGGTAGGCAGGTAGGTTGTTCTAGACGTATTCTCGTATCCACCTGCATCTATGGTACTTGGTTTTCTTGGCTACTAGTATAGAATAGGAAGATGTGGTTATGGTGGTAGTAATTATCTGTCTATCTATCTATCTATCTATCTGTTTTTATTGTACCAACTTAATGATGGAACATAGCCCTGGTCTTTTGCTCTCCATAGATTGATAGATCAATCGATCAATCTTTCCATAGTCATCTAGATGTGATATACCATAGATCAAATGAGAGGAAGGAAGGAAGGAAGGAAGGCAGGGAGGGATGTAATTCCGGGAAAAACACCCTACCAACCGGGATTCATCTCAGGCATGGGAACTAAAGTACTCAAGCGGGGGCGCAACGCCAAGAAGAGGGGATGGGATGGGATGGGATGGTTCATGCATGCATATGCAAAGATAATGCTTCATCTGTTTACCATGTACCAAGTCCGGTTTAGCGCAATATGATCTTTCATCGATCGATCTGACCTGTTGTTCAGGATCGGGATTGCAGCAATTAAGCTTTCTATGACGATGACGACTGCACTGCCGCTGCTTCGGTATTGAAATGAATGAATCATCGTTTCATGCTATGCATCATTACCCAAACAAAGGAAAATCACTCCTACCTAATGCACCGAGGAAAAAAAAAAAAAAAAAAAGGAACCAGGGAATAGGGAATAGGGAATGGTTAGACATGTTCCGTCACTCCCACTGTACGTCCCGTCCCCCAGATGAGGAAGTCTGCGTCACTTCGAATGTCCGATGAATGCCCAAGCCCAGTTCCAAATCGCCATTTTCCATGATCGTGCCGTGACTGCGGCCGCCGCTTCCTGCCGATCCAGTCAGTCGTTCCTCGCTGCTGTTCGAGGTGCCGCCGCGCCACGGTCGCGTATCCGGGTCCACCTGGCTTTGGATCGTCGTGACTGTCACGGCGAGTTTATCCGGGCGGAGACGGCCCTGGACGCCGGTGTCGTCGAGGGAGCCCAGTGGGTATGGTCGATCGTGGCTGCGACCGACACCGCCGCTTTTGTTGAGGTTGAGAGGTCGAGAGCCCGAGGGTCCGGGGAAAGGGGATGCGTCGTAGTTGTGGTCGGCGCTGGAACCGAGCCATTGGCGAAGGAGGGGACGGAGGGTGGCGAGACTACCGGCGGTGATGCCGAGGCCGACTTCGATGTTGGACCAGAGGGCGATTTCGACAGTCGCGTCTGTGGTTGTGGTTAGATGGGGATCGGGATGGAGGTGGGTGGACAGCGTACAGAGAAAGTCCCAATCCGCAAAGGTATGGACCCATGGGATACGAATGATGGTGCCAGAGGAGGCGCTGTGAAGGGATCAGTTTCAAGGTAGGGATCCACCAAGCAAGGGATGACATACATGCATGCCATACTCAAAATACCAACCACCGCCATTTTGGTCTTCTGCTTCATATGCAGCTTCCGCACCAGGAAGATGGGCAAAATACCCACGGTGAAATCGCACAGCGCTGCAAACCCGCTGTACACGTAGGTCATGGCGATGACAATCTGAATATCCATGCAGTGGCCGTGGATGTCCGGGCTGAACGCCTTGCGCGTCCAGAAGTAAGTGAGTGGCTTGCACTGGAGCAACATGATGAACATGAAGACCATGCCCGCGACAACAGTCATGACCATGACGGTCCAGAGGATCCAAATGTGGATTCGTCGGACAGTAATGCGCATAAGGAAAATGCAGACGGAGATCTTGCAGGCCACGGCCGAGAAACAGTAGGCAATTTCGCAGAACCACCAGTACTATTGTCATCCCTTGTTAGATGGGTATGCAGGGGGAGATCGAAGTTACCAACCTCCATGGCAGTCACGCGTTCATGCGCCGTCAACACTTCAAAGCGTCGTCCAGTGCCGTATATCGCGCCACCGATCATGCAACCTGAGAACATGGCGTAGAAAAACTATCTTGTCAGTCAAGCAATGCGATCACCAGACAGGAGAAGTACCATTGCAACCACCATGGCCCAGTCATCCCACCCAAACGCCCGCACAATCCATCCACGCACATAACATCGTAGAATCACAGTCACACATGCCACCGCCATAAAGGCGGCCGCAACCGCCTTGACCTCGGGGCTGCGGTCATCCTTAGCCATGCTACTGACGCAGACCAGACATATTCGAGAAAGCTCAGCTGGGCGGGGTGGGGAGGACCCAATATATGAAGGGGCCGAAATGCCGGGGAGGTCCAGAACCAAACCCGGGCCTAGCAGTCGACAGGAAGCTAATCGCGTCAGACAGCAACGGTACTCGTCTAGTCGGGTCGCAGATGTTCATCCGTCCTCCACCACGAGACGTGATGGGCTTGTGCGCACTCCTAAAGGAGAAGGCGATCTACGTAACCTAACTTGAGCAGGGCGACGGGACTCGCTTAGAACGCTTGTACTAGGTACTGTCGTAGGCTCCGTGGAGTCGCCAGCAATCCGATACTGCCAGACGTTAAGATCGAGTCCACCGGGTTGGTGTATAATTGCGGTGGGTTCAGGGTTGGCAGACCGTTGTTGGGTCACTGGGGAGGGGGGGGGCAGGGAGCGGACACCTTCGAGTCAGAGCCATGATGAGATGAGTTAAGAGTCCCGACTTCTGGGTGTGGTGCCTGCGAGTGTACTACTTTCAACTTTGGATGCAAGGTGGAGGAAAGCAGCTCCATCCGTCGGTAGTTTCAGCACATCGGCGGGCGTCGATTGGTGCCAGCCACAAAAGCTCCACTATGCTCGGGCGAGACTCCAGAAGGGGCAGTATCGCCGACGGGCGAGTCAGGAACGCTGCAGAGATTTTGTACTCCATTGGGACAGGGGCCGTCCATCTGTCATGGAGGAGAGTCCCCAAAAGGTGAGGGTGAGAACCATGGTTGCGACTTCATTTCGCGGTTTAGGTTTGTCAATGATGGAGGCCACGTCGTATTCGCGGGCCACGCTGCATCTTTGACTTCTGTCCAGAACCACACATTGAAGCAATTCACCAGCGACTGCGAGTGTCCGACGCAACTCCCCGCCCCGTCAGAGATTGACAGCCTCGCGACTCGAGCAGATCCTCCTTGTTTAGGATACTGAACTTCGCCGGCTCTCCTTCGCCGGGGACGGAAACCCATCCGGAGAGTGGAGATGCCCGAGGCACGGATGGCGAACATTTAATAAGGAGGTCTACGCCAAAAAGCAAAGGCGACTATTCCTGACCATTGATCAAGTCATTTAGCGTGCGTCAGTAGGCCGCTTCTCGAATGGCGTCGAGTGCTCCGGGTGGATCCGGGGACGAGGCGCGCCCTGATGATTTGACATTTTTCAGCACTCATATTGCTCCATTTTGCATTCCAGTCTTAGCCCGACGGACTAAGACGAGCTCCGTCTGCAGGATGCAGGATCACCAAGGGGAACAATCTTACTGCTCCTGCGTTGCTCCCTCCTTTTGGGTGCAGGTCCCAGGTACACGGTAGCGCCAGAGTTTCTTTTCCCGTTTGCAGGCAAGTCGGGGGGCGCTAAAGCAATGGCAGAGGCACACTAGTTACACTCTCAGACGGCATCGTTCTGCTGCTGCTGTTGTTGCTGCTGCTCATGGGAGGTCCGCGTCCCGACGTTTAATTTGCCCCGGTTAATTATAGAACTGCCACAGTAGATCGGTCCCTGCTGGCATGTGAGTCCGACCATGGATGATGATAACATAAGTTAATCGTAATAATAATACGGCTCTTATCACGATGGGACCACTGGCTGACGTCTCTCCCACCGGAGCAACCCCCGGCACTCCCATGGAATGACCGTCGCCGTTTCACCATCGACTGGCAGCAAGTTGACAAACGTAATCCTCGGCCTCACGGCCATCTTGCCACATGGTCGCAAGAAGTCCGAGCGTGTCTGCAGCACGTGGCGATGGCCCGAAATCAATCCCAACATCACGAGCAGAGACTGATCCGATTGCCTTCATGTTCTGTCTGAACCTTCAAGCACTCCAGTCTACTACTTTGGCGAGCCCACAGCCTCTGACGGTCGGCTACCCTGACGGGTCCCACAATCGCTGTCGATCGGAAATCGTTTCCAGGAATCCCAGCGCTGTGCCGCTTACTGAGAACAACGCTGCCATGGAAAGACCCCTGAAATTCGCCTGCGAAATTGCTTTTTCGATCTTCGTCACAATTCGCCCGTCTCATCTCGGCACGTGCAGATGCTTTCTCCTAGAAGATTCCTGATCGTCTAGCGTGTAGTTGCTTTTTCTGCTTTAGAGACTAGCTTCGTTGCACGACTGCCAACCAACCCGACATTGATCCCTGTCAGCATCCCTGCTAGGGGTCATATAGTCTAGAACAATGTCTTTGCAATGCAGGAGTCCCCGCAGCATTAGTATTTTCAGTAGGCAGTGACTGCTCATGTCAAATAGATGCACCCATGGCTTCACGGCTCGTTTGGCAAATGTCATATCCATGTGACAGCTGCGACTGCAAGAAGCATTTCTGAGATCGCTCTGCTTGATCCGACGGTCGCGTTGTTCACATGGACGCACTCTGAAGCAATATAACGTTAGAAGCACATTGGATCAGTCAGCCCGGACAGTATTGCTTGGAGCTTGGAGCTCTCGAGTGTAGGTTGAGAAACGGTCGGAGTGTGGATTTATGACACTCCTTGCAGCCTGCCCAGCTCATGTGTCCAAGCGGGGTGGCAGTTGACAACCAGACCATCCAAGTCATATCTGTAACTTGACAGAGGCGTGTTACATGCCCTTATCGTCCCAACGAAACGAAAGCTCCTGGTTACTCAGATTGACGTCGCAACCATTGAACACGACAGAATCGCAACCTCCCCAGCTTCATTGTACGACCTTGTGTAAGCTTCACATGGCACTCATCGGTAAATATGCGGAGTATAGTCATACCGCGGCTCTGATACTTATGCGGAAGGTCTTGCAAGCACCCTATGATGTCGGGCACGCTATACACAGTCAGGATGGCCCTCTCTGGAGAGAGTAAAGTCTCCCTCAGGGAACATGTGTCTTCACCACCCCAGGAAACGGCTCCCCAGTCGCCGTTGACAGCTATCAAACAATCTCCGAAGATCTTGGGATATTGTTTAGCTCTGGCGTCCGGTATCCTGCTCTTCGGATATGACTTGGTCATTGTGGGAAATGTGTCCGCCATGCCAGAGTTCCAGTAAGCATTCTCGAGCGCGTTCCGGTGCTTCTATCTGACCTGGCGAGACGCGATTTCGGTCGTCGACTAAACGGGAAACTTATCATCCCTTCTCTATGGCTCGGTCTATGGGATGTAGCTAGTCCTCTGGGGGGTCTCTTTGGGGCTTTAACTGCGGGCTTCATGCAGGATCGTGTCGGGCGTCGCTTCTGCTTAGCCTTTGCGGGCTTATTATCAGCAGCTGCAGTCGCAGTCGCGTACGTTTCGAATCTCCCGAATGACATTGACGCACGCAGAGCAGTCTTCCTAACCGCGAAGCTGGTCCAAGGCCTCGCCATCCATATAATCTCATGTACGACACAAACGTATATGTCGGAAGTTTTGCCTGCCGTGTTGAGAGGCCCGATTCTTGCCTTTTTCCCAATATTCATCCTCCTGGGGCAGCTGGTAGGAAGCATAGTGGTTTATACGTCTTTAGATATTGAGGGGAGTAGGGGATATAGGAATTGCTTCATCTCACAGTGGCCGTTTTCCGCATTGCCTCTGCTAGTTGCAGTGATTCTTCCTGAGAGCCCGACGTACCTTATTCGGAAAAACCGCATGAACGCTGCTCGCAAATCGCAGCGACGGCTGGACTCTAGCGACGTCGAATCGGAAAAGAATTTCGAGCAACTGCGCTCGTTCATTGAAAAGGAAAACCAAGACGCTACCAGCAATGCAACGGGGTACCGTGACTGTTTCAGAGACGTCGACCGTCGTCGGACATTGATCGTCATGTTTGCAAATCTCATTTCCTCGTTTTTCGGTCTGCCGCTTTTATCCAAGAGCAGCTATTTCTTACAAATAGTCGGCATGGAGCACCGTAGAAGCTTTGTGTTCCTGCAGGTTGGCCTAGGACTAGGGCTGGTGGCCAATATACTCAGTATGCAGACGCTGACCATGTTTGGCCGTGTGCCTCTCATCATCGCGAGTCTGGTGATCTCAGCCTTCGCGTGGATGGGGATGGGGATTGCTGGCTGCTTCCCGGGGACTGTTAGCGCCTGGTAGGTGTCCCAACCTGATCGAAGTACCAACTGAGCTGATTATTGTCCAGGTACACGGGCGTCACACTAGTCTTCATAATCACAGTCTGCGGTATTGGTGCATGGCCAGCATCCTATGCTGTCGGTGGAGAAACATCGTCGCTGCGATTACGTGCCAAGACGCAGGGGTTGGGCTGGTTCGTCACTGGGCTATCCAGTGCTGTGTTCAACCTCACCTTGCCGTATATTTTCAATCCCGACGAGGGGGCGTTGCGTGGAAAGACAGCCTTTATGTTCGCAGCACTCTGTATCATCGCAATGGCGGGGACATGGTTCTTTGTGCCTGAGATGAAAGATCGGACGCCCAGCGAGATTGATGATATGTTCGAAGCAGCTTTACCTGCGCGGCAGTTCAGAAAGTGGTCTCGAACCAGTGGAGATCAGCTCTCTTCTGAGCAGTCTCCATGATCAATCAACGTGTGCGGCCAGCTTCGCAGCTTATAACTGAATACCCTGGCTAGGCTGAAGTTGCGCGAGCATACCTGACAAGTAACATCGTTTTCATAATCAAACCTTTTCTCAGTCTGAATCAATTATAAGGCTATGCCATTTGTGAGAGTCTCCTCAGTTATCAACCAGACCTGAAAAATGAGCAACGTATAATACGGACAGAATGCAAAAGGCCAGCCATAGCAACAACGACATAGTCACCGCTGTACGAGCTAAGAAGTTCACATGGCCAACGAGCAACATGAGAGTTCATAGTATGTCATTTAGTAATCTGAACTAGGTACAAGAAGTCATAAGTGAAATCTACTAGCCTTGTCATATGAGATCATGCAAGCATGCAGGTGTCATGACAATCCGAGCGTCGTTCTGTCAGTAATCGAAGTTGCTTGCAACGAAGCTGCTGCTGGAAGCCTGAGTTCCGTCCATTCTTTATGATGATGCCAGTGCTGACAGCGGAGCGATCGTCTGTGAAGCAACCCTATCAATGGATTGCAGACCTGTAGGCTCGCTGGAACGGTGTTTAAGCTATATTTAAAGACCAGGTGGATCCTTATCAATCGGCTTGTTACAGCCCATAGGAGGCATGCCGTGGGTCAATCATCCCTGAGCTTCTGCCGCAGCCTGAATGGCCTTCTTCTTGCTGCCCTTCTTATAGACACGCTCGTCGTTCGGGTCGAAGCCTCCGTTGCCCCACATCGCCCATTCCTCGGTTTCTTTCATGTAATCCTCCGGAGTGAACGAGGTGCCGTCGGCCTTCTCCTTCTCCAAAAGCTGGAAGAATCGATCGTAATCAATCCGAGAATGCCATTTGCCATTGACGTGGAAACGCTCCGATGCGATGAGTGCACAGCAACTGTGGGCATGTTCGGCGGCGATGCCATACTTCAGTCCACGGCGCTCCAACTCCTTGTTGAGGGATGTAACAAATTGCTGAACCTCCTCATAGAAAGGAACATTCTGCATTGTCAGTCCAGCTCCTGCACTGGTGCTCGTACCGCAATAGGTCACGCCCTTGATTTCAACAAAGCACGGCAAGGCCTTCTCAACCAGGTTTGCATATCCAATCACCTCGTCATCGACATTAAATCCCTTGACCAGCGTGAGACGGAAGACCGTCCGCTGGACATGACGCTTCTCCCGCAGAATATCGAGACAGCGCTGGAAGCGCTCCCAGAAGTCGCGGTGGAGGGGCCGATCGATCTTACGCAGACTTTCGCGGTTGCTCGCGTCGATGGAGACATAGAGTTGGGTCACACGGTGCAGGGTTTCGAGTTGGTCGGGATGTTGGGCATTGCAGACAAGGAAACTGGAGATATGCTCGCTGTGCAGCATGTCCAAAAACCGGTTGATATGGGGGTAGAAGATTGGCTCGCCGACCAAGCTGAGAGCGCAGTGACGGATACGCATGGCTTCGGCAAACCGCTCCGCACGCACACCAGGAACACCACGCATCATTTTGATCTTTTTGTAATGGCCCTCCTTGACTCCGTTGAAGATGAGCTCCGGATCATCCACCTTCCAGCGCCAGGTGGTGCCGACCGGGTTGGTGCCATGTCGCCAGCAGAAGATACACTTGTTGCTGCAGGAAAGCGAAGGAGTAGCCTCCATGCAAAGGTGAGAGCGAATACCATAGAACGAATACTTGTAGCATGAGCCTCGACCGCGCAGGGCGGACTTGGTCCAGCGACAGATCTTGACACCAGAGTGCGAACCAACAATTGTATATCCTTGCTTCGTGAGGGCGGCGTAGGTAGGCGAGGTCTTGGGAACCATTTCCTTCTCAGTTGCGGGCGCAGGTTGTTGTCCTCCCGTGGTAAAGTCCACCGGGACAGGGGCGCTAGATCCAGTCTCGGAGCTGAACTTGATATCCTCCAAGTCGACCACAGATTGACCCTTGTTCCGTTTCTTGTTTGCCTTGGAGTCCGATTCATCATCCAGGTCCTCCTCGTCACTCTCGAGCGCATCACCGCTACCGGGAACACCTTCACCCAAGCCACCGCTGTCGACAATGTCACCGAGAATGTCCTTCAGACCACTAGACCACTCCTTCAGGGCGGATTCCGGATCACTCTTAACATCAGCAAACCCGAGCGGGTAGGCTCTCTTCTTGCCTGTGAGTTTGGCCATCCAGCGGTCGAGTTCTTTAGCCTGCGAGCAGAACCCTTCCTCTTCGGTAGGCCATCCTTCCTTATCTCCGAATCCAAAGACGGAATAACCAGCGAGACCAGCCAGAGGCGCGGTGTCGATCCGGAAGTCATTGTGGGTTTCATCGAGGTGACCAAGGAAGGTGTTCAAGACGGTGTCAATGTTGTAAGTTGGGACCAGCATACAATAAACGTAGCGCGTTCCCGGCGAGGTCGTGGGGGGTTTCGGTGCGGTGATAAAGTAGTCGTCAAAGTCGACGTAAGACAGGTCATGAATCTGAGGGGGGAGAAGGGCTCGTTCGCGATTCTCAGGATCTGCCCGGTCGGCAGCAGCGGCGCGCAAATCCTCCAGCAAAACCTTTGCATACCTCTCGGTGTTTCCAGTCAACGAAGCGAAGAAGATAATAGGCTGAATGAAAGAGGCGGCGGGTTCTTGATCGGATCCTCTGCGTCGGCCGGCAACCTTTGCAGGCTTCTTTCCTGTAACACGCTTTGGACCAGGCTTCGCAGACTCCTTCTCAGCGACAGACTCTTCAACGACCTGGGCGTTGGATTCCTTTCCGATCTCCTTCTCATTATGAATGATCTTTTCGCTTTTTTCGGGGGAATGGCTGCGAGGCGAGGACGGGATGGAGGATGCACTGGCGATCTTCGACTTGGGCTGAACCTTTCGATAAGCTCGCAGGAGGACGACAGCAGTAGCAAGGGCGAGGAGGAGAGGCAGGCGGTATGAGTGCCAAAAGGCCAATAGACCTAGCAGTATGGCAATTAGTAAAGGAACGGTCGCAGGTACAACCCAGATCTACCTTCGGCTGCAGGGGTCTCGGCCATCGTGAGACTGGATCAGGATCACTGATCCTCTGATTCACCAGACTGAATCTGTCCCTCGTGGCCGTAGTCAAGAAGCGGGTCGATCAAGGCGGGGCACTTGGTAATTAAAAGGGGTTAATAGAACCCTGGGGACGCATCGCAAGAACCGACTGATCGGATCTTGGCGAGAGAAGATGAGACCGAACAAGATGAGTAGCCAGATCCGTCTCTTGAAAAGGACGAAAAGGCATCCGAGGTGAATGCGGAGGGACCCAGGCTTGGGATTTTCCGAGAATTTTTCTGGCCTTGCGGCGAGGGCTGTGATTGGCTCCCGCACTGTGTTGCCATATCGGGAAGGCAACTCGGGCCTATCGAAGGCCCGCATTTGTAATGGTCAACGGCGGCGCCGTGATGAAGTATTTGGGATCAGGATGCTCATATGCAGTAGCTGTTTGTTTGTTGTCTGTCGGGAAGCCATTGCTAGTGTCACCATGGTCGAGCATACCGCTCTTCCGGACCGTCTGTGGGATTGTGTGACATTTGTTCAATATTAGTCCGACCGCTTATCAAGACGGGAATCCTGATCCTGCAACTGCTCGGTAATCCAACTGTCCGCCGGCGGACGTCCTACTCTGCTAGATAAACAGGCAGGCACCTACCCGGACGGCATCCAACGTGTCCACTCCGTTCTATCGCAACATTTCACGGAAGCTGAAAGCGCGGGTTACACAACCCTTCGCATAATGGGTTCGAAGCTCGATTTGGAGTCATCGCGCGTGTACCTGACAAACACGTCGGGTACAGACCAGAAATCTCGGTCTGCTATGGCGCGTAACATGGGACGTGTGCTTTTGAGTCTTCTTCTTGCGTGTTTCTTGGTTGCTTTGACCTCTGCTCGCCGATGCCGCGGCCCACTCACTCTGGACGAAAGAGTGGACAAGATCCTGTCGGAGACGCCATTGATAGGTAGAGTAGCTCCAGACGTACCTAGTCCGGACTAACCGGTCACAGACGGCCATGATGATCTACCGATCTTTATCCGCGAAGTTTTCCAGAACCACATCTACAGCGATGAGTTCAGAATTCCCTTCACTGAGGGGGGTCTGCTGGGCCATGTTGATCTGCCTCGACTCGCTGAGGGCAAAGTGGGCGGTACTTTCTGGAGTGTCTTTGTGGAGTGTCCCAAAAACTGGAGCGATTTGTCCGATGCAACCTATGCCACAAGTAAGACTGTGATGTCTGTTGGTTGTGCGTTACTAACCCTGTATGGTAGGTGTCCGTCAGACTACCGAACAGGTAGATGTCATGTTGCGCCTGCAACAGGCCTATCCCGATGTTTTTTCTGCGCCACCCAATGGCACGACGGCCCTCCAGGCCTTCAAAGAGGGAAAGATCATCTCGCCACTGGGAATGGAAGGCCTTCATTCCATCGGAAATTCTTTGGCCCATTTGCGAAGCTTCTATGATCGCGGCGTATCATACGCCACTCTCACCCACAACTGCCACAATCGCTATGCTGATGCGGCGCTTGTCGAGATCCCCGGTGGTGTCAAGAAAGCAGATCCTCTCTGGCACGGTGTGAGCGAGGCGGGTAAGGATCTTGTATTCGAGATGAACCGTCTTGGTATGATTGTCGACTTGTCCCACGTCAGCGTCAATACGATGCGGGACGTCCTAGGAGCCGGCAAGGATGACTGGGCCGGCAGTCGCGCGCCGGTGATGTTCAGCCACAGCTCCGCGTACGCCATCTGCCCTCATCCCCGCAATGTGCCAGATGATGTTTTGAGTCTGGTCAAGGCACGGAACTCTATTGTGATGGTCAACTTTTCCCCCGACTTTGTCTCATGCACTGTTTCTGACAACCCGAACGGCTTGCCCGAGTTTGACCCTGAGCATGCTACTCTCGAGCATGTGGTTGAACACATCATGCATATTGGGAACCTTATCGGATTCGATCATGTCGGACTGGGGAGCGATTTCGACGGTATTCCCACTGTTCCGCGCGGTCTCGAGGATGTATCTAAATATCCGGATTTGATTGTCGAGCTTTTGAGACGAGGAGTCAGTGACGAGGACGCGGCCAAGGTTGCTGGAGGAAACCTACTGCGGGTGTGGAAGGAAGTTGACCAGGTTGCGCGACAGATGCAGGCTGCGGGGGCACTTCCAGTTGAAGATGAGCTGTAATGGCTTTTGCACGTGCCTTCGCCCGATCCTTGTCCATAATATGCATTATTCCGTGGCTTTAATCTTAGGCAACCTACCAGCGTGGGCAGTCTGTACATCAGCAGCTGCAGAAATAGCGGTCATACCTTTTTCTAGTCAGCAAAGAATATCATCATCCGGTTTCGGACCGCATGGCACGCCTATCACTTTTCTAGGACCAAGGCCATGAAAGACCTGTCATCATGACTGCAATCTGGCGATCTGTATGTCAGTGGGGATGAGGGGATGAGAGGATCCGTGGCTGCAAGACTGTTTGCATGTATTGCTTTGCGCTGTTTGCTTCAAACCACCTGAGAAGGCACATGAGAACTCCACCACCTCTTACTTACAACCCATTCCTGGTCGCAGACTTGCCTTTGACGGTTATGATTATGTTGGTCCAAGCTCCACGACCGACCTCGGGGCGATATCCCGGAGGTTACCTATTCATGACATATGGGCACCGAAATTGCGCAAAAAGGCAGATGAGCAGTTGGTCAGCTAGTAAATAAACTTTCATATTAAGATGGTTTCTTAGTATCTAGATTATCCCAGAAAACAGAGGAAGAACAATACAAAAATCGTAGGTCAAAAGAAACACATGAAACGTGAGCAGACCATACCAACTCTATTTTGTCCGCTGGAATCACATTCAGTATCTAACTCTATACCTATCCAGGATTGAATGCTATCAAGTCTTAAGCCAAAGTGCGTCTTGTAGCGCCCGTGCAGTCGGCCTCCTAATGGGATCAATCGTCAACATAGCCCGAAGCATAGAAAGAAAATTCTCCTTTTCAACCCCATCCAAACACTCTATCCATCTTTCCAGCTTCGCAGGAGGGCGTTCAATAGGATCACGGATCTGTGAATTCTCATCGAATAATTTCTGCACGATATCTTGGTCCCCGGCTTTGAGCATCTCAAGGGGAAAGGGACCAAATAGGGCATCAATCTCTTCAATATGATGCTTGGTGTAGTAAGTCCCGCCGGTGACATCAGCTCTGCCATTGAACATTCGGACAGCGTCTAAAAGCTCCGGAAGTAGGGCGCCCAAGTTCCAAATATCAACTTCTTTGCCCCATGGGGCCTGGATGATGACTTCCGGGGCACGAAGTAGCAGGGGCTGGATTAATGGAGTGAGATGTCTTTCTTCCCAGCTTGCAAATCCCCAGTCGCAAAGCGCGATGCTGATCTCTGGGAATTCAGACGGGTGGTCGAAGTTGTACTCTCCCAGGGAGATATTCTTTATTGACTGGGAATCTTTCAGGTAGCGATCGACCATTAAGGGGTCTCTGATCTTTACCATGATGTTATCTTGTTTGATATCTAAATGGATGTGTGAATTAGCATAGTAATAGTGGTTACGTATATGACAGGTTTGCCTACCTGTATGAATAACCCCCGAGTCATGCGCATACTCTAAAGCCAAAAGTAGCTGCTTCGTGATTTTCTTCATGATGTTATTGGGGATCTTGACTCCTTCGAAGAAAAAGGCGAATCCCTTCATATTATCTGCCATCAGCTCCATAACGAGACATACATGGTGTCCCTGGTGGCTCTCGTAGACAAAATCATCCAGGATAATGGGAATGTGCTGATAGCCTGGATGGCTTGGGTTTGCTTTACTGAGGTGCTTCATGATCTCCAGCTCGAAAAGGTCATGTTTGCCATCGTAACATTCGGGACTCAGTATCTTGATTGCCTTGTAGGAAGATTCTCTATAGGCAAGAGTAAGCAATTTTTCGATTCCTAGCATCCGATCTTGTCATAACATACTTTGATCCCTCACTAACCAGACAGTCGAATAACACCCAGATCCCAGGTTCTTTATAAGTTCATACCTATCATGCATGATTTGACCGACACAAACGGGGTCGGCACCGTTCTGCTCTTCATGAAGCATGATTCTGATGTGTAGACGTCAAAGGCAACAGCAACCTGTCAGAGTATAGAGCAGCGGGTTATCTGGACAGTGTGATTCGGGATTTGCCGCTCCTGAGAAGTATCGCGCTTAGTAGCGGCCAGGAAGTTGAGAGACTGCGAGAGAGGCAACAGTTTGAAGTTCTGGGCCGGGAAAGCCCGAGCCACGCGGTTATATGCGAACTCTGACTGGTTACTCGATTCGTTCCCCGGTCCTTATCGGCCTGCTGTGAGGGAATATGATATAAGGCCGCTTCCGGCACAGGTATGGCAACAGCATATGATCTTTCGGATATCTACATAGATATACCGTTTTGAGGGCCAAACGCAGTCAGAAAAAAAGTGGTGGTAGATGGAACCTTTTAGAGCTTACCGCGTAGATTGTCGGGGTTCATGGGGCGCAACTCTGCTTGATTCCTATTTTGTAGTTATAGATTATGACTTACAATCATAGTCAGGCGATAGTACATCATTCTATCGGCATTTCGCTGAGTATTAGAAGAGACGTATCCATCAGTGAAGATGGCAGTGAGGGTATACAGAGGATCTCCCGACTCTGGAACATAATGATACTTCAAACATTCTAACATAAAGAATATCCAAGGATCATGGAGAGTTCAAATCGCTGCCGTGGATCTCTTCGAATTAACAAATACAGAAAGCTGTCCAGACATTGTTCCAAATTAACTAGATCAAAAACACGATCAAATCCAGGTAGATTCTTGATAAGAAATCGTAGGCACCAAAAGAAATAACAAATCCGGCCTTATTCACCCCCCTTTTCGTATCTTTGGAATTCGATGATCTTTCAACAATTTGCGTCTTTCCGCAGCATTCGATACCTCTAACAACATAGCTGGCGACAAATACCCACGATCCGCAATATTGGGATTTGCTCCAGCCTTCAAAAGCGCAGTCACCATTCGATGATTGTTCTTGATAAGCGCCTCCAGCAACGGTGTGCGCCCATTCACTGAAATAGTAAGATCCGGATTGGTCCTGGGATCCTGCAACAGGAACTCTACCATATCCGCGCGATTCGCATCCATGGCAGTTTGCAGCGGGGTGCGCTTACGGAAGAGGTCATTAGGATTGATATCCTTCTGCTTCACCAGAACTTCCACCATTTCTGGTTGTCCTTTAAGAATGGCCCGATGTAGCAGCGATCCCCACTTTGGAAAACGCCTCGTCGTGGGATGAGCACCGTGCGCGAAGAGAGACCGCACGACATCCGCGTGACCTGAGCGCATTGCCTCATCCACTGCTCTGGTGCCAAAATGCCCCCCGTGAGGGCTTGGGTCGATTCCTGGTAGTTCCAGAAGGGTTTCGACGACCTGGGTGTGGCCGCGTTCTGCGGCACTGTAAAGGGCATTGGCAGTATCTGCCAGTCCACCGGCACCAAGGGCCAGAAGCTTTTTAAGGATTTGGACGCGCCCGTAATAGGCAGCCCATGTCAGGGGGGTCCAGCCTCTTTCATCTTTGGCGTTGATGTTTGCACGAGACTGGATTAGGAAGTTGAATATTTCCCAATCCCCGCTCTCGGTGGCGTAGAACAATAAAGTTCTTGGCCTCTCTGCGGCCCATTTGCTGGTCCGCAGGTAAGGTTTGAATTCGGTATCGATTCCAAACTGAAGGGCTTTCTTGACGGTGTCAAGGTTCTTGTGCTTGATGCCGTAGAGCACGGCAAATCCATCATCTTCTTTTGCATTGCGGGAGTAGAGAATGGGTATCACCCGGTGGTAGATATAAGGGTGTACTTGGGCGAGTGAGCTGATGTCTTGCTGGAAGGTAAGATTGTCCACTATCATGAAGAGAAGTTCGTTGGGAAGAGCGAGTAAAGACATGTTGCCTCTGATGATGACACAAGAATACTAGAGTTGAGAGAAGATGATTTTGACGAGGTTCAATGGGGGGGCAGGAATATGTATATATCCTCTACATCCTAATCGGAGTATTCACTCGGTTGAGAGTCTCAGGTTGTGAGTTGCTCAAACCCCATTCGCTGAATTCTCAACCTGCAGATGTCAATCCGAAGTTTATCCGGGAAATCCCTACATGAACAAGGTACGCTTCTTGGATCGAACAGAACATACGGCATTACCATTTCCGAAGAACACCTCAAATGGCCACCTACGAGGCTTAGTCCCTATATCTTCTCGTTTCACACCAAATATCTACCCATTTCATCAACACCCCTCAGTCCCATTCCCAACCTACCCACCACCACCACCAGCCAATCCTGTACAACCCTAACCACCAACTAGCTAAACCAATGCCATCACACAGACAGCCTGACAAGGCAGAGCCCCTCCATTACCCAATCCCTCTCTCACACATCCATCGTAGCTGAACCTCTCTCACCCATCCGCTTACCCCATAAATCCCTCAAATCCCCATCCCCTTTCACCACCTCCAATCCACCAACAAACCCCATCATGCCCTCCTCCCCACCCTCACTTATACCCCTCCCCCTCCTCCTCCTCTACCTAACATTACCAACAGCAGCAACAACAACAACATGCTACGACCCCACCGGCACAAAACTCCACGCCGGCTACCAACCCTGCCCCCCCTCCTCCGGCAGCCCCAACTCATGCTGCAACATCGGCAACGGCGACCTCTGCACCGACTCCGGCCTCTGTCTCCGACAAGATACCCTCGCCAATGGATTCTGGTATCAGGATGGATGTACGGATCGGGATTGGAGGGGGTGTAGGAGGATTTGTTCCGGTAAAATAGTTCTCTGTCCTTGATGGTGGGACTAGTAAGCTAATATATGTGGAGATTCCCTCCCTGTACCTTGGGAATTAGTCTATTGTTCGGATAGTGAGGCGCCGGGGACGTGGTGTTGTCGGACGGCGGGTAGGTCAGGTTCTTTTTTTTCATTTTTATATACTGGTTTATTGATGGGTGGATGGATTGGGGGTTTAGTGGGTATGGGCTGATAATTATGTACGGTTTGAAGCTGTCAGGTCTGTTGCAGAATGCTGCTCGAATACCTCTGCGTTGGTGACGACGGATATTGGGAGGTTGATTCTTCCTACGGTGACGGTTAGCAATACGTCTACGGCCAGTGCTACTGTTACTGTTTCGGCTACTGCCTCGACGTGTTCTGATACATCGACTGTTGTGGTGAGGGCGAGTGTGGGGGCGTCGATGGGAGTAGCGTTGCTCGCTTCGCTTGGATTGCTATTGTGGAGAGAGAGGACACGGCCAAAGGTGTCGGCGGGGAATAATTTGGATTATGGGAGCAGTACTAGTCAGACGGAGACGGAGGGGTTGGTGGTGGGTTCTCGGTCTCGGTGTCGGCCTCCGGTGGAGATGACTTCGAGTAGTCAGTTGTATGAGATTGATGGGGGCGGTAGTAGGGGGCGGTAGATTGGGTTTGGTGAATATGGAGATACTAGGGGTGGTGGGGATGGTGCGAATGCATGTATATATGGGTATAAGTTGAGAGATCGGGATATTCGGTTCGATTTGTTTTCTAAGGATAATGTAGATTGAGAAGAGTGGTCAGAGACTTGATGTTGGAGGTTTCGTGGTTACCGACGTCGGAGCTGTTGCTATTCGCAATGATGGGAAGGTTCGTGCATCATATCCACTGTAGTCTGCAACATCGTGAAAAGATCAACTATCATTTCTGTTGGAAGGCTGACAGTGGATGCGATGAAGTTACTCACTTGTAATCATCGTAGCTTGTCAGCTTAATCCGAGGCTATAGCTCTATATTCACGTGGCTTCCGCTATGGTAATAGTGAAAGCGTTATGTGCCGATGTTATCCCACTATCTTGATCAATTGTCTAAAAAGGGACACACTAGACCCCAATACGGTATGTAGCATCTGTCTCCATAAGTACGCGCAAGCCCTATGTAATAGTGCCGAGCCAGCACAGACCCAGAATTGTACAGAGTCCAGAGAGCAACGTAGTAAAGGCGTCGCCTAGAATGTCCGGAAAAATGTATCCATCCAATCTAAGACACCTGACCAAAGTTTGATCATCGCACCAGATGGACAGCTCGACGTTGCACCCAAGGATTCAAGCACCAGTGATCTGCCCTTGACGAAGCTTCTGCACCTGGGTCAATCTAGCGATCATTTGTCATGCGACTTGGCCGACGACCCCGGCCATACTTGTTTTTGACTGAAAGCCTCACCACCACATGGGCTATCTATAGCTTGTCCACCGCCACCGACATCACGGCTCATTCCAGCAGATACGTGCCAGGGCCTTATCGCAGTCGCCCCATCGGTAACTCTGTCGGCGTTTATCCGGCTGAACCACTGAGATCGCCGCATTTTTCCCCCAGCCCAAGGCAGCAGCGATGACTTCATGGATCAACGTGGCTGCAGGATAAGCACTTAAACAGGGGACAGAACCTGATGTCGGACAACTAGCCCGCAGTCCGATCACCACCGCAATACGTACCACCTCAGCAAGGTCCAGTCGATCACCGTTTCATGCTCAACCATCGTCGTTCGGCTGGCGATCAAACCCAACGAAGCCAGCACGCAAGGGATACCGCTACTCCAGATAGAGGATGTGCAGGCCTCAGGTAGCTGCATTCTTGGCCTCCCATACCGCACAACCAACAAGGGCAAGATAAACCGCGAAAAAATCCGGCCTCCGGACCATTGCGCAAGCAACCCGTTCTCCCTTGCCATTGGCGATGGAAAATCAGGATTCGCTCGTTCGAGGTTGGATCGGAGTTGGGGAAAGCTTTTTCCCAGCGTGGCACTCTTCCCAGTTGGGGATCGTAGCATTCCAGCCCCGCTGGTAGGGTTTCTATTTTCTTCGGAGAATTGATAGCCAGAATGTCTTGCGTGCATGCTGCTCCCCGGTCGCTTCCAACGTGCTATATATTCTCCGCGTTGGACTCGTGGGTTCACAATGTGTCCATGGATTGATGACGAAAATCTCCTCCTACCCAGGCCCGATGGATTCGATTCAGCAAGAGACTACCCAGTCGTCCGAGGACTGCATATCCGCCGACAATGGCGACCGCGAGAGCCATGATTCGACCGCCAATCAGAAGCTCAGCATTGAAGCCGACGCGGCTCCGGATGGTGGGTATGGATGGGTGATTGTTGCGTGTGTATTCTGGCTGCAAGTCCACACCTGGGGAATCAACGGGGTAAGTCGCTCACCTCTCAAGCATCCATTTCTAACCAAAGCAGAGCTATGGCGTCTTTCTGTCCTACTACATGGACAACAACCTATACCCCGGCACCAGCTCGCTGGCGTACGCCTTCATTGGCGGGCTCGCCATCGGGTGCGCCTACCTCATGGCCCCCGTCACCGTGTATTTGATCCGAACATATGGCACGCACGTCACCCTGATCGGAGGCATCTTCATCCAGACCGCAGGTCTTATCCTCGCCTCCTTCACGACCCACGTGTACCAGCTATTCCTCACCGAGGGTGTCTGCTTCGGCGTCGGCATGGGCATCGTCTACATGACCTACCTCGGTATTCCCGCCCAATGGTTCGACAAAAAGCGCAGCATCGCCAACGCAATCCCGGCCGCCGGTGCCGGAATCGGTGGTGTTATCTATTCGCTTGCCATCGAAGCAATGATCGAAAATCTCGGTCTCCCCTGGACCTTCCGGACCCTGGCCCTGGTCTCTCTGGCAGCCAACCTCGTCAGCGCCGCCTTCCTCCGAGACCGCAACAAAGCCACCGCCAGCCGCCACATGTCCTTCAACTTCCCTCTCCTGCGCAAAGTCGAATTCCTGCTCCTCCTGGGCTGGGCCATCTTCAGCACGTTCGGCTTCGTGACCATCAACTTCAGTCTGCCCAACTTTGCCATTTCGATTGGCCTAACCGCCCACCAAAGCAGTGTAGTCGGCGCACTGCACAATCTAGGCCAAGGAATCGGACGACCACTAATCGGACTGTTCAGCGACCGACTGGGTCGGTTGAACGTAGCGACAGTGTTGTCGCTGGTATGTGCAGTATTCTGTTTCGCGATTTGGATCCCCGCGCGGAACATGGCGGTGGTGAGTGTGTTTGCGATCATGGGGGGCATGGTGTCAGGCACGTTCTTTGCGACGGTGGCCCCTGTGTTTGTGGAGATCATCGGGCTGCAGGATCTGCCCGGGGCGCTGAGCATCCTCTGGCTGGTGCTGGTGGGGCCGGGAGCAGCCGGCGAGGCGGTTGCGCAGGCACTGCGACGTCCGTCACAGGGGGCAGAGGCCTATCAGCAGGTGCAGATCTTCTCGGGGATGGTGTTTGTTGCGGCGGGATTGTGTCTATGGGTAGTGCGGGGGTGGAAGGTCCGGCAAAGTCGGGGGTGCGGGGAGGCGCAAGGGATGTGTAAAGAGGGGGTGGACATGGTGGTGAGGGAGAGAGAGGAGAAGTCGGTCTGGAATCCGATGGAGATGGCACGAGAGATGGTGCGGTGTTGTAAAGTATGATGGGGGGAGGAGTGAGGGAGGGAGGAAGGAAAGAAGGGAAAATTGGTAGAGGGCAGTAGATAGAT